CCTGAGCGCCTGAGGCTCGATGTTTGTTATGTATCCATATCTCCCAATAATAATATTAGTATTAATGATGTCATCATCGGGTAATGTTCCCAATAAATGGCGGGAATGTGCTGTGGGGTGTTGTGGGGTGGCCCCTTGTGGGGTGGGGATGTGATCTCATTTGTTATGGTTGGTTGATAGGACTAGAGGTGGCCTGGCTGACTGGCCGGCCCTCAACCAACCGCAGACCACCTTTGTTTAATTTGTTTCTTTTTTTTTTTCATTTTTAAAAATTATCCATTTGACTCTTGAAAGTTGAAGCAGTGGGAAAGATGCCGCACCACTTACCCACCTATCAAGTTTACGATTGGTGATGTAGATAAGGTTCTTCTGTGGCTTGAGCTCAGTTTGGAAGGAATACAAATGCAAATATATAAAATATAAATACATACAAAATAATACAAAATACATGATTTTGCACTGCATATTTATATTTTTGCTCCTTCCAAATTGAGCCTTGGGAACTAAATTCAATGTATTGGATTTGTCACCATAACATCACAAGCACCATTGTAGCCGGTAGGGACATGATTGGGAGGCGATGGATAACCAAATTCTCGCTATTAAGGGACAGACCCAAATCTAGTGATCATAGGAACAGGGTGGGGCCTTGGTTAGCCTTGACCAATCTGATCCAACCTGCCTGAGTTGCAACCTTGGATGCTAACCAATTAAGGGGTAGTCCAGTTGGTGCGCTGGATGAATTGTTCCAATGATAGTACGGTTTCGAATCCTGTTATTATCATTTCCGTAAGAAAAGAGTTGTTGGCATGATATTGTACTGTTCACTTAACGACCTATCCATGTATCAGACAATGATTAGTATAAAATAAATAAAAAAAAAACCTTAAATTCTTGGTCTAACTTTTTTATTATTTTGATAAGACCCATTCCTATTTAATTTTAGCGTTGGTCTTTAACGGTGCTGAAATTACAGTTATGTTAGCATTGTTAACCAAAGAATAAAAAGAATTCTATATTATTTTGATCTGGTAAATTGAATCATAATTTTGCAAAATTTGAGTCTTGTTTTGCTTATACCTAATTCTAAATATAGGTGGTGTTTGATAATGCTTTTCAAACATTTAATGTTTGAAAAACTTGATTTTTAGATGTTGGAGGTGTTTGACATGGTCTCCCGTCTAACATCTGATTAGAGGAATATGACGAATTTATGTCTGTATATGATTAGACATATTTATCTAAGGAGTTGGACGAATTAATGTGTGAATGCGATTAGAGGAAAAATGTTTATTATTAGATAGTGACTTTTGGTGGGATTGTAATGATGAAAAAAAAAGGCATGTTGTGGTTTGGGCATTTGAAAGGTCGTTCCTTTAGGACATGTAAGATCAGTTTGTGAGGCTTAAGTCTTTCTTAGGATGAGACCTAAGCCTTAAGTTTCAAGGTGTGAAGCGTAAAAAGGAATAATCCTCAAGTATTAATGATTATTTAGTTATTTAATATAAAAATATATATTTTATATATTTTTATAGTTCAAAATATATGAAAGAAACATTTCAATAATTATGGGCCAAATAAATAAAAATAGTAAAAATGAAAAGTCACTAGGGAAAATCAAGTTTTATTAGCTTCTCTTACTCTTGGATATATCCAGTAAGGTTTTTTTTTTTTATTATTCTAAATTTAACTAAAATTTGTTTTTTCTCATTTCTTTTATTATTGTATTTATTTTTTTTTTATTGATTTTTTTTGCATAGATCAAATTAACTAATTTTTTTTCTTTCTTCTAAACTATTGAATGACCATAGATCTGATATCCAATTATATGAATGATTCTTCACACGTTTCCTTCCTTCTAAATTGGTCATTTGAATTAATTGAGAATTTTGCATTTTGGAAGATGAAATTTAAAATATTTATAATTGTTAGTTGATTCGTTATTATTTTATTTAATACTTAAAACACTAAAATTCAATGCTCATAATCTTTTATTTAATAGATATTTATACCTTCTATCATCTTAACTTTTCTCCAGAATTAAACATGGAATCACACTATAATGATGGCCCCTTTTCGACGAAGATTGTAGCTATTGGTTCCTCTTGGGGAGCTCGAAAGGACTCCAGATCACCTGTCCACATCTATCCACAACACACTATTCTCGTGAATTGAAAATATCTCCCCCTGCATTTATAATACTGTGTAGGAGGATGAGATATTTTTTATGCGTAACTATATGTGGGTAAACATGAACAGGAGATCCGGACTCGCTCAAAAGGAATCAACTTTCCATGGCATAAGAGCCAGCCCACTAAAGACCATAGCTAGAAGTGATGCCTATAATGCTTTATTGGCTGAGTTGCTTCACACAAATGTTGATCCTATGGGACCACCAACTCTCTCCTCTTCATCAACTAACCAGACCGTCTGGTGCCCTCCTCCTGCTGGATGGTGGAAAGTTAATGTCGACGCTTCGGTGGCAACCATATATCTACGGGGCTCGGTGTGGTGGGTAGAGATCATGTTGGGAACTTACTTTGCTGCTTATCCATAGCGATCCCCACTGCACTCGGAGAAGAGGAGGCAGAAGCTACATCCTTGTTGGAAGCCTTGAAATTTGTTCATTCTGTCACTAAAGATTATTGTTGAAGGTGATACATTGGATGTTACACATTTTGGTGATGTCCCCATAGGTAATCATTTCTTGAGACACACGGGTTCCATACTTCCATTCGTACAGAACACTCCTACGTCGCCTTTAGACGCAACTGGTGACCAGCAGATATCCATATTCCTAAAATGTTTGCCATTTCATGTTGCGAAATAAGCTTTGAGTTATAAAAGAAAGAGATCCATGTGGTATATTCAGCAAGTGCTATCGGGTGCTCCAAACCCATAAACCCTCCCAACCCAGGTCCCGGTGAGATTCGATCTTGCTACAACCAGCAGGAGATCTTATCAATCAATCGGCGTAAGGTTTAGTCGCTGCTGTGTTATGCCAATTCAATTGCCCCTGGGATGGTTGCTCACTTGCCTCCCTAGGGCTGTCAATGGTCAGGTAGAGCCAGCAGAACTAAACTGACTCAATTATATGTAGAATTGCTAATGAAACCAGAAAATCTAAGGCCCGATCTAACATCTAATCTAAGTATTTTGGAAGTATTTTGGATTTGGATGATGTGTATGTAATCGGAATGGATTCGGATTTTGCAATCTACATCCAATTAATAATCAGGATTGTATTTGAATTTGGCTCTATCCACTTTGATTAAAATCCGAATCTGATTATATTATAATATTTATTGATTTTAATATAATTTTATATAATATATTTAAAATTATAAAAAGTATATTTTATATATTTATTATATATGAATATATGTATATATATATATATAATTTAGTATGTTATATTTACATTAATTTATTATATAAAAAGTAATTAATTTTTTTTTGTATTTTAAAAATTTAAAGCGGAATTGAATTAAATCCAAATCTGATTCGAATCTATTAGGATTTGAATTCAAATTCAACCGGATTCAAATGCAAGTTATCGGATTCAGATTTGGCTAAATCCAATCCAATTACAGCCATAATTGTATGCATCGCTAAAACATAGGGAATATATCCCCACATAAAATGTAAATACAGATGATATTCCTAATGCACGACTGGATACCGTACTCTCAAGGTGTGTAAATGATTTTTGCTTGATCCGGAACCAGTTATATTGGGTTTGGGTCTGTATCACATGTCCAAATTATTATTGGGCTGATTCTGGGTCTTGGCTGCCCATTCTAATACCTATATTGCTCATTGTGTGCTTTGTAATATTATCATACTATCATGCTAATTAAAATGCATCAATTTAACAAATGGATAATTTGTCAATTGCCTGATAATCCTGATTAATTGGTTTGGTTATGGGTCTGTTATTACTGTTTCAGGACTGGTTCTACACATTTACTTATCGGTTGACCAGATCTACCCTGATCCGGACCAGACCTGGCCCATTGACAGCACTATACTCTCCCGTCCTCAAGTTGGTGCTGTAAATGAACTTAGTTCAGTTCGTTCTTGAGCTTGGCTCACAGGCTTGGGTGGATTCAGCTTTGGTTTAAGCTAGGTTACTTATATAATACACCAGACACATTATTTCATAAAATTAATATCTTATAATAAATATAAATGTTACATTTTCTTGTTATCTCTTAGATGTGTGCCCCAAATCATGGTCTCCCTTGGTTCCAATGGACGATGGCTATGCCTGGTTTGTCCGTAAATAAGAGAGTTTAGAGCCTATTTGGTTCACCATCAGAATTAGAATCGATATCCCCTAGAATCAGAATCAGAATTGGTTCAGACTGGAATCTAAATGAGAATCAGACTTGGCTGGAATGAAATTTCATTCCTAGGGGAGGGGGAGGGAATGACCATTTGGCCCATTCTTTCAAATAGGGGAATGCCACTCCACCAGGAGTAGGAATGAGGATTCCAATTCCACCCAACCAAACAGTTGGAATCGGAATGGGACCCTATTCCCACAAATGACAAACCAAACAGACCATAAGTACATTCCTTCAAGTTTCAGTTTCTCTCTTATTGTCTGTCAAACCAAACGCAGCCTAAGTGTAACACATCCTAACACATCCAGGGAGAGAGAGAAAGGCTAGGGGAAAAGGAGCTTCAGACAAATCATCTACTCTCCTTGGATGGGTTACACCTAGTTCATCAAGCTTCAGGGCGAATAAAACCTTGTTAGTCAATGATTCATTTATATTTCAGTGCAGAGTTATTTCGACAGCATCTTGCATCATCAAAGCTTTCTATCCAGTCACTTTTCAATTGCATGTCCAATTCTTATGGATCCCAATCCATGCCTTTAGAACGACTTAGTTGTTGACTTGTGTCCTGGCTCTTATCATTGCCTGCCTTATATTTAATAAATTTTGATCAACAAACAGATCAAAAATAAATAAGTAGTTTGCCTAAAAAAATGAAAAAGATGAGAGGGGAGCAGTGTATTCAATCAATGCAAAATTCTTCTCAAGTTATGTAACTAATCCTGATTGACTGAAAATGACCTATGACCATCTCTTGCATGCTAAGCTAAGTAAGAAGCCGCTGATACAACAATGAATACAGTCTTGTTGCTCCCAAGGAATGGAAAAATAATTTCACCAGAAATGGAAGTGATTCCAGTCAAGAAATCTGAATTTTATATAATGCAAAGAAAAAAATAAGTGAAATTGAACAAGAATCCTGAAACTATTTGTCACCAAAACCTCCATGGATCTTTATATGGAGGTACATAGCTCTCTGTGGGAGGAAGAAGTCGAAAAGAAGCCACCGTTTTTTCTAGGAAGGGTCCCATCTGTACATTAACGGAAAGTTTACAGACTGTTTACATGTGAAAATGTGTGTGTGTGTGTGTGAGAGAGAGAGAGAGAGAGAGAGAGAGAGACTTACAAAGTTCCACTGCTTGGTAAGAGTAGAAGCATTCAATGAGTACAAGTAACCTGCAGCCAAAGGTTAAAAATGAAAGAACTGCAATTAACAAGAAGCATCTAGTGTGAAAGAAGCAATAACAAGTAATGGAAGCTAAGACTTTGAAGCATCTAAACATAGACCTTACAGAAACCAACAAAGATTGGATATGTACAAAAAAAAAAGGTTTTGTATAACTTCTAGCAACATCCATAAAGTGGTTTGACTGTTAAAAAAGACAACAACAAAAGATGTGGTGACAGAGTAGAATGGTTAAATAGGATTTGACAAGAGATCCAAACTAGTCGGGATAAGTCTTTTGCTGAGTTGATAAAATGTGACAAGTGATATCTGACAAACATTTCAGGTAGGAAGTATGGGAATAAGGTCCTACCATCTCGTTCAGCAGTAGAACCTACATGGTGTCGATAAATATTTGATTCTTGAGCCTGCATTTTTCTACACGGATCAACAACAGCAACAAAGCATTCCATAGAATAAAAAGTTTTAAAATTCATGGAGAAAACACTAACAGATTTTGTGGGTGACTTGCGAACTAGATATTCGTAGTACCAATAGGGCTCACCGTCAATCTGTTAAAATGAAAACAATGGAGGGTTCTAATCATTCTCGTATTAGTGTATTAACTGTAAAACAAGACTTACGGTAATGATTTTGGGGGAATGTTCCACATTAAAGAAATACCATTCTCCAGGAAAACATTAAAAATCACTTGAAAAGCAAATGTGAATAATAGGGAAAACTTACTTCACTAGAATGTGTATCAAGAACAGAGCTCTCAGCCAGACGCTGACTGGAAGTGACACGCTGCAGAGTAGCATAGGCACAAGTTCAAACTACTAGGTTGAGTGATAAACTTCAAGGAAGAAAAACAATTTAGATAAGCACCCTATAATAGACTGTGAGTCAGTCAGCTTTCTGACAATGATAGGGGTTATCCCATAAATCTAGATCCAACTGATGAAGCATGTGCTTCAGTCCACCAGAGGATCTCATCAATCAAATAATGAATTCCAACCATTTTCACATATTTTTCATAGCAAAGCAAAAGATATCAATTCATTGGATAAATCAGAAACAAAAAAAGTCTGAATTCCAAACTATAGGTTGTATTAGGTAACGGTTTCAGGAAATTAGGTACCAAAGCAGACTTATCAGCTAAAACAGAATCAGCAACATCTTTTGCGCTCCATGTCTTCTTATCCTTCATTTTTAAGAACTGTGAATTGGGAGGACCTATCTGGACCAAAGAAGATCAAAATCATCAACCTTGACAAAGAACAAGTAGAGCTGTGCCTTGTTGAAGCATTGTCTTCTAAAAGTTACCGAAACAGAAATTATGAGGTTATCTTTTATGTCGACCCGCTCGGACACTATACGTTGGCGTGCATCAGCTGTACAACATCAATAACCAAGTTAAATTTTCCTTTATAATATCTAGTGTTCCTAAACGTTTTATCAGGTAATACTTGGAGTTTAGAATGGAATGTGGATTAATTCCCAAAATATATGGCAACCGAAGTATACAAGCAGAAAGAATGAGTGTTCACATCAGGGTAGGAGGATTTGAAAGCACTTTCTTTCCTGCCAATGCTGTTCACGCTCATGCACAGATGATTTAGTCTCAACTAATTGGTCACTTTACGAAAAGGATGATCCGATTCAAAGATCTTTAATTTACTGATGTATTTTGCCTTTTTGGAACAATGGAGGAATGTGAGGAACAATTGAGAAAAAAAAGATTTATAATCCAATTTGTAAGTGGATTCTTGATCAGGAGGATTCCATGGTCAACCACTTTTCCAAGGATCAGCATCACAAAACTTCAACTGATATAGTTATATCTTTTGGGATAATGCTGGAGGTGTTTCCTATCATGTATCAGCCCTTTTAGCCTTGAAAAATATTTAATCCAGGAATGGCAGGAAATCAAACAAATTGCACGATATTACTACTTAAAATTGAAGTATCTAACATGTCTACCACTTCGAAGCATATAGAAAATATAGCTTAGCACAGACAGAACTGCTACCCTGTATGGAATAGGTAGGGAGCAAAGTTCTATCATATCCTCTCATCTGGTGTAAACATTCCTAGAGAAAATTTATTGCACTTGAGAAAGAACAATGAGCCATAGTAAAGAAAACAAGACATATATCAAACTTACGAGATAGTGGGGCAGCTGAAGAATAGCGTTCTGGTTTTCTGGATTCCACCCTTGAAAACAGATGAAAGTCATCAGGTTTTGAAAGTTTAAAGAAACTATAAAAGAACTAGTAGTTTTAGCTTCTAAATGAATAAAGCAACATGAATAGCATGCATAGACTTGTAAAATCTATAGCTGCCGTAGCCAATTAGTACCAATTAAAGGGTGATTTCTCAGTAGTACCAATTAAACTTTTACAGATCCACCAGTATGAAAAAAAAAGGTTAAGTTCTTAAGAAAGATCACATGGAAATGATATAACCAACCATAAGACCACAAATAAATATATTCCTGAAGTCATTTATTTCGTTGAACATTCAATAGATCATGGACATGAAAGCAATCCTTATTCAAGATGCATAGAAATGGATTTTTTAGAAGGAATTACGTTTTCACAAATACCATCCACCAGAAACCTTGTAACAAGTCTAAAATAGTAAATAGAATTTCAATAGGAAGGACAACCTATAATCATTCCAAACAACTACCACAAACATGAGTCATCAAGGACAAAGACAATTTGTAGCAATTTTGAGTTTATTGGACTGATAGTCTTCAATTGATGTATAGTACATAGATACTCCAATTCATGTCAAACACTATAATTTTAGTTCAAATTCTGTGTTCAATACCTTCTACATAAAAAATCTTGGTGTATCTAGTTAACCTAGTTCAACCAATACAAAGTGTTAATTTTGGGTTTCCCTGTTAATGTTTTGTTACGCCATCCAACAGTATGGACTTGTCTCTGGAGGTGAGCAGATCCAGTTTAATCTTTGATTCAAACTAGCGGACCGAAATGTTTAAACATCAATAAAGGTATATGGTATTGAAATCAAATACTGAAATTATTAAAAAAGGCCATTACCCAATGTTGGTCCCAGCTATGTGGGATCTTGGGAGGGGTAGACTGGATACCGTCCTAACCTTTGCCAATTTTTTGCACAAGTGGCTGCTTTCAGACTTGAACCCGCATTCTCATGCTTGCCAGTCCAAGATTTTACCATTGCACCAAGTAATGGTCCCTAAATTTTCAAATTATTATCGACTAATTTCTTATGATAAATTACTAGTGACTCAATACAACTAGGATGGTAGAAGCCATGAAAGATTTTGTTTGGGCAAGAACCAAAGACGTTCCCATAAGTCCCAATTTGTTTAGTTGAAGGTGGTTTTGCTTGTGCATCTTTGTTTTACTTTCCTTTTTTCCAGTACAATTGTAATCACAAATCCAGAAAAGGATAAACAAGCAAAGAAAGAAGTGAATTTAAAAGAAATAGCTAACAACAAGAGATTCGTGTTGCCAATTAAGCAAGGCAATATTGTTCTTTTCGAATGAAATTCCAATTCAATTCAAGACATGACCTACCATTTGAAGACAAACTTCTTTGATGGCAACTCCGATGGGTACAGAAAAGAATAAGCATTTATATCATCAACTAGTAAGGACATTTTTAACTCTTCTTCCGGCTCAGCAGCAGCAACCAGAACTAGGGAAACCAAAGCTACATATTAGAACATCTCCGAGCTTTTGTAAAAATTAAGGGGAATTGACTTAACCCATAAATGTGAAGCAATAATTATACTGAACGCCCACAAATCATTCTTTCCAATCAACATATATTACATGAAAGATAAAATTATTGGCTAAAAAGTGAAAATGATACGTAAGAAGGCCGTCATTTTAGCTTACCTGAAGGTGGAAAGATCATAAATACGGTAGAAGAAAAGCCAAACAGTACTAAATCCCTTTTTCGAAAGTCATTTCCCGAAGTGGGTATTGAAGAAGAACAAGAAACGAATGGGATTTTCTCTGCTAATAGGCACTTCTTCTGATAAAGCTTGCGTCTAGTCTGGTTTCTGAACCAAAAGAAAAGAGGTCAAACTTATGAGAGAGGTGTGTAAAAGAGAGAGCAAGAGAGAGTACCTGAAAAGGATTGGAAGATTTGGAGACGAAGGGTTACTGAATTTGGAAAGAGAAAGAGAGGGAGGGAGAAGAGCTGTCGTCATTGTTCCTCTCCTCTACTCAGTGTTAGCTCATCCACTCGAGTATCGAGTCACTCATTTGGCTGAATAACGTAACCCAAAATTAATAATAAAATAATAAATAAAAGGATAAAAGACTTAAACATACCCTCAGTTTTTCCGAAAGGACTTAAAAGATGTGAAACATAACGTGAATTCATTTAAAATTTTTAAAATTCTATTTTGCCCCTATGGCACTTATTTGTTCATCTATCCATTATCCTATATTTGTTGGGGAAAGCCTATCTTTTTATTAGACAAAGCAAAATCAACTTGAACGCACCAAAAGTTTTCTGTTAAGCAAAATCCTAGACACCCAAAATCATTATTCAAACAAATTTTAAAATTTGAAATCAAATGTTTTAACAGCTGTAGATCTTATGATTTATAGTTGTAAAAGAATTGAGAAGTAAGACCTTTCTGATTATGTTAGAGAGCACATTTTAGATGTTGGAATCATCCGTCAACAACGTTGGAACCTATTAGGGTTTAAATTGGTATTAGAATTTGACTTGAATTGGGTGGTACTCATCAAACAATCTCAATATGAGCTTTCTGATTCCAAATGCAATAAGTTAAATGGGATTGTATAGCCAATGTCTACTGTTTAGTCAAAATTTGACTTGGATTGCATGAGATTCATCAATCAATCTCTTCATATTCGGATTTATAATCTCTGTGCTTCTTTTTGAAAGTTTGAAAGAAAATGAAGGATAAAAGAATCATAAGGTATCTTTAAGTCATTTTGAAAAACTCAAGGTATGTTTAAGCCAATTAATGAAAACTGAGGGTATGGTTAAGTCTTTTCCCCTAAATAAAATGATTAATTTAGAAATGACAGTTTTCCCTGTCTCCATTGCCTATTCGGACTCACCAAGGTATGTTCAAGTCATTTGCTCTAGTGACGACGGGGAGTGATGTCCCCAACTCACCATAACTTTTTAAAATGTCTAAAACTCACCATGGGTTTTTAACCTTTAAAATATTATGGTGAGTTTTAGACAATTTTTCTTTAAAATATTATTTATATTTTAAATTTTTAAATTGTATATATTAAATATTTTAAAATATTATTAAATAGATTCATATTCATTTCAATTCAAATAGATATATACTACCTAAGTGTTGAAGTAATTTAGGTTAATGAGTTTTTCATTTTTCAAGTAAATTCTTTTTTCAAAATAATTTTTTAATTAAAAATAAAATAAAAAAAAGAATTTGGGAATTTGGGTCCTGAAGGGAAACCTATCTCCATCAGGGACGGGGGACAGAGGTTCATTTTTATCTCTATTCGGAGTCAAGGTCAAGGATAAGGAGCTATTTAGAAATTGGGGTCAAGGATGGCAAATATGGTCTTCCCCCAAACTCAACCAGTGGCCATTCCTAGCTTAGATTAAGTCTGCATTTGTCATTCCTTATTTTAAGGACTTATCTCCATTTTACAATTAAAAATTAAGTGTTCATAAGGGCATTTTAACCCCAAAAAGGAGATAAGTCTTTACAATAAGGAATGCCAAATGCAGCTTAAATGGACATAAATAGAATTATCAAAAAATGGATATAAATAAGTAAAATAGGGAAGTTGATCGACTTGGCAATTAGCAATTTGTCATGTTCCTAGTAATGACTTGTGATGCATTGGGATCCAATTGCTTCTAACAAGCACCTCTCACCATAAGATGTGTGGAAACATATCATGTGGAACGGTTTTTGGTTGGGAGGATAGACTGAAAAATATCCTGTGTGGGAGGGCTTCAGCTTTGATTCCTATATTGACACAGCTGCATTGAAGAAGCTAGCTACTGAAAAATAAGAATAGTTTCATCCAAAAGTCATTTTCTTAGTGGGGCTTTCCTAGTTTCTTACTAAACATACCTTGTAAGTTCAATGGTGGCGGTAGGGGTGTTCATGGTTTGGTTCGGTGTAATTTAGAAAAAACCTCAAATCGGATTCTTGGACTAAACTAAACTGTTTTATTATAATTTGGTATGGTTTTTAATACGACTTAGGCCATTCAATTGGCCTTAACCCAATTAGAAAGCACAAACAATATATACGATTGAATAAATAATACATATTCTTTTAATTATCATAAAATCATTGAATCATTGTAATTTATATGCTATTTAAGCATCAATTTGGTTAGAATAAGGGAGTGCTTGGATAATTTATTTTATTATATATTATAATACATTTCGGTTTACAGTTTGGTTTTTAAATTTCAAAAAAACCGATCCAAAACATAAATCTAGACTCTAGACCAAACTGAACTGAAAATTGCGGTTTGGTTCAGTTAATTTTAGCGGTGTGGTAGTAGAAGGGTATCTTAGCTTAGACCATGGAGGCATGGATGATTAATACTTAAAAGTCTTTTGGCATAGCGCTTAGATTCGTTTAATCCTGTGTAGCCAAGTTGTTTACGGTGCAATTTAATTTGTAATTTCTTTTATTTTTGCATCAGTGCAAATCAAATAAAGAATTAGATAAGCTCACAAACACTTGGAAAGTGATAAGTGGTACGTCTATAGATGTTTGTGTGTGTAACGGTCCAATCAACCTGGACCTGGTCGACCGCTCGATTGGTTCAATAAAAATGAAAAACTAATAAAAGATCAGAAAAAATAAAAATAAAAAACAATAATAATCATAAAAAGCTCATAACTCCTTTGTAACTGGATCTGGGTCAAGGCCTCAAGGGTTGAACGGTCCAACCATCTGGCCAGGTCAGGTCTCAAAACTCTGCTTTTAATTGTAAAGGCTGGACAATCGCTCTTGCAATGTGTTATACCTCAATACAAATTCAATCCACATCCACCTAACCAATTCTTCTGTGGATCAGTCAAAACAGATGAAGAATAAAAGAATAAAGTCACACAAAGATTGGACTCCCAACATGGGAATATAAGTTCAATCAGAAAACTCGTCAACACACATCATGAGTAAATCCATTTCCAACTGCTCCATAGTCCACACTGAAGAAATGAATTTGCATTTAGCCATTTACCAAAAGAAAAATATGAAGCTTTGAACTTTTCCTTGTCTACTTAAACTCTAAATCCTCTACAAGTCCCACCCAAACACAACCTCCCTTCACACCCTTTCATGGCTACATGGGTTCAGGAGCTTCAGTTCCCTCATATAGACATCCCTATAACCATAGACCACGTCACTCCAGTCATGCCGGCCGGCCCAATTCCTGCTGGCGCCGGCGACTGCTTATACCTCTCCAACCTCGACGATGTGGTCGGAGCCCGTGTCTTCACCCCAACTCTGTATTTCTATCGATCAAACAATTTGAGCAGCACGCAAAGGAAGCTGGTCGTTAAGATATTACACGATGCCCTGGCTAGTGTTCTGGTGCCCTACTACCCATTTTCGGGTCGGCTCAGGGAGACCCAGAATGGGAAACTGGAGGTGTTTTTTGGGCCCAAACAAGGGGCGCTCATGGTCGAAGCACACTCAGAAATGGCCATCACTGACCTAGGAGGCCTCTCAGTCCCTAATCCTGCTTGGTCTCCACTGATATACAGGTTCCCCGATGAAGAGGCTTACAAGGTGGTCGACATGCCGCTGGTTATCGCTCAGGTCACGAGTTTCAGTTGCGGGGGGTTCAGCCTTGGCCTACGGCTGTGCCATTGTCTATGCGATGGCTTAGGCGCAATGCAATTCGTCGGTGCTTGGGCCGCGACGGCCCGGGCGGGCGCCCTTGTGACAAGCCCCGTGCCATGCTGGGACAGGGAGTTCTTTCGGCCGAGAGACCCGCCCCTAGTGAAGTACCCACATCTTGAGTTCATGAGGATGGACGATGGCTCCAGCCTTACCTCCACTCTCTGGCAAGTAAAACCGGTCCAGAAGTGCTATAGGGTCAACCGAGAGTTTCAGGTTCAGATCAAACAGTTGGCGCAGCCTGATGATCAGCATCACTCATGTACCACTTTCGACGCCATGGCAGCACACATCTGGAGATCATGGGTAAAGGCCCTTAACGTGACACCGTTGGACTACAAGCTCCGACTGACATTCTCGGTGAATGCCCGCCAGAAACTTAGGAACCCACCATTGAAGGATGGATTCTATGGCAATGTGGTCTGCTTAGCTTGTGCGACCAGCACGGTCTCACAGCTCGTGGGCGGGAAGCTCTCGGCCACGTCTCGGTCAGTCCGCGAGGCGAGAGTTGGTGTCTCGGAGGACTACGTAAGATCCGTGATTGATTACGTCGAGGTGGACAGGCCGAGCAGGCTTGAGTTCGCTGGGAAGTTGACGATCACACAATGGACGAGGTTCTCCATGTACGAGTCTGCGGATTTCGGGTGGGGCCAGCCGGTTTACGCCGGTCCGATCGACCTAACTCCGACGCCGCAGGTTTGTATTTTGTTGCCGGACGGCGACTCGCCTCCCGGAGGATCAATGGTGGTGTGCATTTGCTTGCCTGAATCTGCAACTTCTAAGTTCAGAGAGCTTTTATCTCGAATGGACACAGGTGATGAAGCTCCTGAAGTGGAATAAGGATTGTTGGACCATGGGCCTTGGCCCATGTTGCGCCGGATCGATCACCGATTTGTGTTCATGAATCTAGATTGTTGATTGATTTGCTAGCTTTGGCCCACCAAATAGCCTAATTGGACGGCGTAGATTGATTTATCAGCAAATTAACCGAACATGATTTGTTGGATACAGCGAGCTTCCGTGATGCAGACATGTACGTTATTATCACTAAGCAAGCAAATAAACGGTCCCATTCGAAATGGACGGCATATTGACATGCATGCCCTCAAGGTTATTCCCTTAGAAACCAAATATCGTAAGTCAATATTGAAAAGCGTAGGGTTGATATTGTCAAGTAAAGTTCGGATTTTATAATTTCGTTACTATATATAGCGCTACCAACTTCGAATATCAAGCTCTGATGTCTGCATAGTCAATCAATCAAAAATTCCTTCGTTTCGTCGTTATTTTTCCCATTTCTCCGACACATCTTCCGTTCTGAACTTCTGAATCTCGTAATTATTCTCGAGCTTTCATTGATGGCGTGATCTCTGGCATCGTCTTCCCAACTGATTTATTCGGCATACTACTCCTACAATTCTTCCAAGTTTCACGAATCCTTGGTTGTTTGGAGATGAAACGATCTCGAGTTAGGGTTTCAGAGTGATCGACTTATGCTTTTCGTCCTCCAGTACAGGTAGGCGTTTATCGGATGTCCTTCTCTTGTTCTGTATCATTTCTCGCTTTTGTTGTTTTCAATTCTTCTTCAAATGTTTAATTGAGAGAGTGATTTATCCTGATCTTGGAGGCTTGGGTGTCCAATTATGTCTCTCATTGATCCTTTTGAGTTTCATAGTGCCTGTCTGCCTGATGTGCGGATTTTATCTTGGATTTTTCTTTGATATGTTTGGTTATATGAAAGTGTTAGTATTCTTCACAGAGTAATACAGAGAAAAGATGAAAAGCATCGATGCTTGGTGGATATATTGGAATCCGGTTGCATGATTTCATTTAACTTTATATACCTGACGTAAATTATAATTTTTTATATTGTTCTGGTTCTTCCCGCGGTAATACTATTTAATAATTGTCTTATTTCATGCTCTGTGTTGGAGTAAGAAATATTCAAGAGTTCATTGTTCGAGATAATTAATTTTCTGAGTGCCACATTTCTTGAATCCATGTATCGTTTTCCTATGATAAGCCATTATTTCCTATTAATGTCCCAATCTAGTAATAGTTTATGTCCAATTTATCATTTCAAATAACATACTGTTGCAGAAAATTTTAAATCCTGTTCCAGATATCTCCTGCTTCTATGATACCTTTCTGTGTGTAAAATATAGATTTTTTTTGCTTCCTTTTTGGTTCGTTTTCATGTGTTCACGTAAAACTTAGCTAGACGTGAAATTCTCATCTTTTGAGTGGTGAAATTTTGAACATTACAAGTCGATTCCTCTGTTCCTGTCCTTGTTGTTCTTGGGATTACAACCTGTTATAAACTAGAACATTAATCTGAATTTTCTATCCGTCTTGTGGCGTCATAGTTGGCTTGTCACAGAAAGATGAGATGATGAAATCCTAAGTTAAAAAACTGCATTCTACTTGTGGTTCCAACCCATATTGACATGAGTCATTTGAATTCTGGGATCTATGTGACGTATTAGATTTTTTCTTTATTTATATATACATGTATATATGTCTATGTGATTTACATTGATAGAGAGAATATTTTTCAAAATCATAGTACACTTGAGTACATAGGAAGAACTCTTGGTAAGGATAATACCAAGGACAGGAATTAAATTGTGTATAAACTAATGAGATGGAGTATCCAATTATGTTCATTACCACCTTAGGCTTGATATGTGCAGATCTGTAATCAATATATACCATTAATCAATTCACAAAGTTTTGGAAGGGAGGAAATTTTGATTATCTCAATGTTTCTGTCAATCCAATGTAGACAGAGGTTTGAAGGTCAAATGCATTGTTTGCCCCTTTTCACTAGTTCAAATGAGTAATTGTGTTTCCTTTTCCTAAAAGTACTTAAATATGACTAACCTTTTCCTTTGTTTCTTACAATTTATGTGCTTTACATGTCTCTAGTTCTTTACATGATTGGGGGTTATGTCAACATGGTTTCAATTAGACCTTCAACTACACCTATAACATTTTTTATGGGTATGTCAACTTGTATTTAGACCTGTGTTTTTAGAATAAATTAACATAACCGGCCCTACTTGTGTTATTTCTCAAAGTTCATATGTTTTATATACGTGTTTTTGTTTTTTTGCTGTAGTATCTATTTTATATTATGACCACTTGTGTTATTTGTGGACAGTGAGGTCTCTTCTATGATCTGAGATAATAAAGCCAGGAATGTCTTCTTTAAATCCGTATGCAGCATCATATGTTCCACTCTCCAAAAGAGAGGATGCTGATAAAAATGCTTTTGAGATAAGTAGTGGTTCCAAGATTGTTGATACAGATGCCTGGTCCAAAAATTCCTCTGAAGGACAGGAGACAGAAGCGAACCAGCTCCCAGGCGAAGCTTCTCTTGATTTTAATGTGCATGGTATTGAAGAACTACTCAATTCGATGGATTTAACTCAGAAAAGCCACATGGATGACAATTCTCATGATTCATTGTCATGCAATCCTAGTTACGCAACAGAAAAGCACAATACATATGACGATTTTGAGATGGATCTAGCATACCTTGCTACCATGTTCCCTAGTTTATCAGATCAATCACTAGTTGATGTATACTCTGCAAATGCAGGTGACCTGGAAGCCTCAGTTGATATGCTCCACCAACTTGAGGTATTAATTTGTATGTTAAAACTATCCATTTTGTTTCAGTTTGCTAAATGGGATAGTATTGCAGTTGATTAGTTATAACATAAATCAGTATGTAGTATTTTTTTTCTTTTGTGTTCTTGTTCTCTGAACTTCATGCTTCATATCTTCAACCATTAGTGTAATAGTCGCTATTTTCCATTTTCCTTTTCAGTATTTTCCCCTTCTTTTGATTTCTTTCTGGTGGGAAATTGATTTGTTTGGGAGAACATGTCATATGATGCATCTGTGGCACCTTCTATCAAAATTGATGATGATATAAAGTTTTTTCAAAAGAAGATTGTAATTGCAGTATTTTTATAGAAATAATAACCCCATGCATGCTGTTTCTATTTAGTTGACACTTCAGACGGATTTGACAGTAAATTAGTGTATCATTACAATGTGTATTATCCTGTTAACTAGAACCCTTCTACCCAAAAACAAAATGTTAACTAGAGCCAAGTGGTCATACTTTTTTTCATTTAATTACTTGACTAGGAGACTTGTTAAGCTATAATGATGGGTGGATTTTCTCTTTTAAGGGAGACCTTCCTCTGCCTTTTAATTTGAAATAACCACTATATCATGCCTACTGTATAATGCAATTGGAAATTCTACCTCCTATGTTGTCTCTTTCTTAATCATTTGCATAGTTGAGTAGACCGTTTATAATGTTAGATATTTTTCTGATCATATTATTACTTAGTTTGAGTTGTTTTATTACTCTGTGTACAGGTATACCCAGCGGATGCATCTCAACATCTTCCAGACAGCTTAGACATTGGTGACGTGCCAGGATTTGAATCTCCAGATGAAGAAGAACCGTCTATAAGGCTGAACACTTCTGGTGAAGCCAGTGGATCATCATCTTGTCCATTGCCATCTACCTCTTGACATGACCTCTGCTGTTTGTGATTGTGTGGTAAGACGCGATTAGGGAGGGTTCTTTCCTCGAGTGAAATTGGAAATATCGTCATGGTACATGTTGTAATTCTTCATTGATGTGTTCATTCTCTTTTGTCTTCTAGAGTTCTGCTTCATCGGTAATCCCTTGTGCGGTTTTTCTTCTGCGTTAATGTTGATCGCACTTTATCAAATGAAAGTAATTTTCCCCCTTTTTATCTGTTTGGTGACTCTTTGTGAGTTTGTGGTTAACTTTTTTGCAACTCTCTCTCGGCTTCACAAATCTAGAGGCAGTTAGGTAGAAAGTCATTCTCATTGAATTTGAATGGAAAAGAAATCCTAATTCCTAAATAATGAAGTTGATCCAAGTATTTTAGATCCCATAGGTTAGATATGTTGAATTGTGGGGTTCAGAATCTTCTATGAATCATGTCTGCCATGTGTTATGCCGTTATATTCGATAACTCGGTTTTTGAGGGAATTATTTATGAATAAAATTGTAAATTCTTCATAATGATACTATGGTCCATTTGATTCATTGGTCAGAATCGGAATGGGAATCAAAATTGAAATCTCTTACAACCGGAGTTGCCTACTCCACAGCCTGTTTGGTTGAAACAAGAATACGAATCAGATCTTATAAGATATGCAAAGAGAGTGGTGTCGGATAAAGAGAAATAGGGTTTGGGATCTTTGGTCCACTTCATTTATGGTTAGAATCTGAATAGGAATTCCTTAACATATGCACGACTCACCAAGAGTGTTGGGGTAGGGTAAAGAGAAATAGGGTTTGAGGAGAATTTTAGTCACATGACTTTTTTCTGTTTTTTTGGAGAGAGGTGGTTGAATGAGATTCTCATTCTAAAGAGAGAAAGCTGAAAGCTTAAATTGATCGCTTCCTCATATGTGAATTCATGAGAATCGGAATCCAATTTCACCCAACCAACTGGCTGGAATGAGAACGGGCCACTTCAATTCCAATTCTAAACCCTTATTTCTACAAACCCCTTAAAATAGTGTATCTTTTGTCTGTCTATAAAAGTACAAATTACCATGAGCGAGGACATAGTTTGTGGCATCATCAAAGTGGGGTGGCGTGTCCGTGGGCCTCAAAACATGTCTAATCAAATGATGGTGGAATCTTAACCGCACATTGCATATAATTTAGGGTCTCTGATAGTTGCTAAGTGCGGTGGTGTGTCCGTGGGCCTCCAAGCAAGTCTAATCAAATGATGGTAGAATCTTAACCGCACATTGCATACAATTTACGGAGAAGCCTATTGTAGAATTCTGATTTCTACTGCACATCTACACCATTTCAAAAAGGTCAATTACCCCTATACACTAATGCCCGCCCATCAATTTCTGACAGTTGTTAAAACCTTTGATTTGGTAATTACAATCATCTCTTCTAAATATTTTGATAGATCTCATGTAAAATACCCATGTAATTATTATTGAGTAGGGGTGGCGATTTCTCACCCAACCCATTGAACCTCACCTAAGGTTCAAAGTATCGACGCAGTTCATATCAACCTGTATCGGTACTTTTTATAAGTTTTATTTTTTTTCAAAACCAGTTCAGAGGGATTGATTTAAGGCCCGACCACCTTCTGAACCAGTGTCTGACCCAATATAATCCCTGAAGAGGCATATCGATAAGCCACGATACGTATCAATACTTTGAACCTTGAACCCACCCAACCCGCCCATTTGCTTAGCGGGTTGGAAATAGGTTGATGGCCCATTGGGTCAATTTAAATGGGTTGGCTTGGGTTGTGGATATGGGTTAACCATTAATGATACAAGTGTGAATTCCTTAGCCATTTTTTTTTAATTTTCTTTATTTATGTGAAATAATTTATAATTAATGCATTATTTTTTATTAATTATTGACTAAAAATAGTTTTGGCTCAAACCAACATTGTTCACCCAAATCGACATAAATCCTAATTAAGTCAAATGGCCCAATTTGGTCCAATTTGATTTTAGCACAAATGCCCCAACATACCTAGCCCAAACAACCTAGTACTCTAGACCAACTTGATTTGGGCCAACCAAATCCAACTCTAGATTAGATCATTCAGGCATCCCAACCCAACTCGATTTGGACCAGTTTGGGCTAGACAAACTTGATTTTAGTTTGGATTGCATGGTCGACCCATCTCGATCTGTCTTGGGTTGGGTGGCTTGGTTCCAAATATGAACCCATGCCAGCTTAGCCTGGGCCGACTCAACCGAAACTAACCCTTGGTCCGACCTAGATCCAGACAGTTTAGGACCAATCCAGGTAGGTATAGATCAACACAAATCGGTTCAACCCAGTCTGGATAGACCCCAATTCATGTTGACCAGTCCGATCCTGGTCCCAAGCGATTCGGGCCATGGTCGACATGTATTGGCCCAAATCGGGCTCGGTCCAACCAAATCCATACCAACTTGGATCCAAACGGTTTGAATCAGTCTGGGTCAATTCAACCCAATCTGATCCGAAACCCAACCAAATTTGGGCCAATCTGACCTAAACCAGCACACCTAGGTCAAGATGGTTCAAGTTGGCCTGACCGGTTTAAACCTAAGTGGCTCATCCAAACCCAAGACCTAGACATAGTCAAATGGTTCCATGTGCTTAATTGCTTTTTGTTTTCCTTGTAGAAATAATATTCATATAATGTGATTTGAACCTTCACCACTTATGCAAAGAATAACCACTATTGCCATCAAGCCATGACCATATTATTTGTTATAAGGGAATTGGTTTATTCTTTAAAATACATAAACTAAGTTGTTCTAAGATTAATAGGTTACTGGGTTGGGCGGGTTGGATTGGGTCAAAGCGGATTTGGGTTGAACACAACCCATTCAACTTTATCCAACTGAGTCATTAATGGGTTGGTGGGTTAGATGGGTTGGGTTGAAGTTCAATCCAAACCAAACCCAACCCACCCAATTTCCACTGCTACTATTGAGGCTGGTTTTTACAAGAAAAAAGGTACAAACTTTATCAACAATAAAAAAATTAGAGAATTTAAAGGTGCAGCTCTACATTTTAGTAACTGATATGAAGGGAAAATTTGAAAAATAAATCAATTTCAAAAAAGAGATTGAACGGATTTTTTTTTATGCGAAATTGGAAGGATTTGGACTAGCGATTCATATGAAAAGAAAAATGAAAAATAAATATTTTGGTCAAAAGTAATTACATGAATATTTTAGACATTTTCATGCCTCTTGTCAGAAGATTCTAACAAAAGAAATTACTTACGACCATGTCAAAAATTTCAGGAGAGGTGGTTGCAATTAGTAAACTTTAGGGGAGGTTTACTGACAGAGATCGGCTTCAGTCAGAGCAAAGTCCGTTCAAACACTGTTCAAACAGCCTTTATAGCCTTGCATGGAGAATATCTCTGCACTTTTATGCTTTATTTCATGGGGAAATATTCCCAATGCAAGGCTATGATGGCTGTTCGAATGGACTTTGATCTGACTGAATCTGTTTCTTACCAACAAGCCAACAACCGAAAACTTCATAGAAGGTTTTAACAATTTACCCTAATTAAAAAATTGTTGAATTTCACTTCTAGGCTTAAAAATGGCAAGAGACATTTTAGTGTTTGGCTGGGTCTGGGTGTTATGCTGGAAATGGACTGTTTGTGTTTGGCTATCCCAGGCTCAAAAGCTCTGAGGTTCCCAGCTTCAAATGGATTTTTTTTTTTTTCTAGTTCTATCTATCAGTCGTTCTTTTTACTTCGATGCGGCTCACCGACACTGAGTCACTGAGTTAGAGTTGCTAAACCCGATCCTGAGGACAGGACAGAGGCACAGAGACCATCATCCATGCCCAGTTCCTCTAATCCGGTTCCGGACCACCCAAATCTATGTTCCCGCGAAAATGATGGTAGATCCGAAACCGGAAACTGGACAAACAATTACAAGTGAAACAACCTGTGAATACGCCAGCCACTCAGCCAGTGTTACGTAAAACACGAGTTCACATCTCCGCCCCACGTACGCCAACCGGAAACTGGATGTGCTGTGGGGCGTTGTGGGGCGGAGATGTGAACTCGTGTTTTACGTGTTCATGGAGCCCACATTATAAATGGGTCCCATATATAGGTAACACTAACGTGTTCAATCGTGATTGGACATGTAGCAAGATTCGCACAATTTTGCGTCTGCAGCAGATCCTGACTGGTTCCTGCCCCGACCAGCGACCACCCTCTTTCGTTTATTACAGGGAGAGGAGAGAGGTATGGTTGGTGTCCGACTTTCGATTCATTTGCAGTCGGTCTCTTTTCCGGTAGTTCTTTCATTCTTTGAATCTGCTTGTTTTCTCTGAGACCGATTTGCTGGTCCGAGAGCTTCTCTTTGACATCGTCAATGTAAGAAATAAAGGGAAAAGGGGGAGTTTTTGTTTGAAACTCAAAACCATTACAAAGACTTTCTATAAAGAAGAAGAGGAAGAAGAAAAATTTGACGCGCCTGGTGGGGATCTTTTGAGGAAGACTTCCACTAAAGTTTGGAATCTTTGAATGCCAAATTCTGTTTTTTCGTCGTCAGTTCTTCGTGAATGTGCAAGAATTCGGTGCGTGGTTGTATGTGTTTGAGAGGTTTACGAGTTCCTCGGACGATTCCATTATTTTGCTTCAAGGAATCGCTGAAATTTCAGTGGTTGTTTCATGTGTTTCCGGAAGAAATTTGCAGAGATCGGGGTTGTGCATGGTGAAATTAGGCAGGGCAATCAGGGATTTGGGCTTCCGTGGCGCAAATATTGCGTTTCCTGTGCATTTCTTTGGTGTTTAATCTGTTTCTGCTAGTGTGCGATTCATTAGTCCAGAAGAATCTCCAAATCGATGTTTTGTTCTGGGAGCTCACGGCGGTGCTTAAAGATCTCTTTTTGAATAATAACGTCATTGGAATTCGGAAACTGGAATAGAATTTCCTGCAGATTGCGAAGGTCTTCTTCTGACAAAAGATATATAATATCTGCCCATCTGGTTCGGGATGGGAGTCGATTATTACAACATTTTGAAGGTCAATAGGAACGCAACCGATGACGATCTCAAGAAGTCCTATAGGAGATTAGCTATGAAATGGCATCCGGACAAGAATCCTAACAGCAAAAAAGAAGCAGAAGCTCAGTTCAAGAAGATCTCCGAAGCCTATGAAGTGAGTTTCCTAACCTTACAAAGTATGAAAATTGTGTAAGGTTTTTCGATTGATTGATTGATTATGCTTGTTGTCTAACTTAACGTCGTGCAGTATAATTGCTGTCAATTTGATTTGGTTTCTCTATTTATGAATTTGAGATTTCTGTTCTAAATAAACAAGGAAAAATAGCTGAAGTCAAAACACCCAGAAACATCCTTTCCCGGGAATTTTAGAACTTGAACGATGTATTGTGTTCTGCTGTTTCAGGTCTTGAGCGACGCACAGAAAAGATCAGTCTATGATCAATATGGGGAAGAAGGATTAAAGGGCATGCCTCCTCAAGGTTCCAGCAGTGGTGGGTTTCACAATGGAAGTTGCTCAAATGATTTCAGGTTCAATCCTCGGAATGCAGAGGACATCTTTGCCGAATTCTTTGGGAGAAACCCTTTTGGGTTCGCATCAACTGGGCATGGGAAGTCTACGAGGTTCCAATCTGATGGAGGGATGTTTGGGGGGTTTGGTGGGGGTGATAATGCCTTCAGAACATATGGTGAAGCGGCTAATGGGGGCGGCGCACCACGGAAGCCCCCTCCAATTGAGAGCAAGCTACCATGTACCCTTGAGGAGCTCTACACTGGGTCAACAAGGAAGATGAAGATCTCTAGAAATGTTGTCGATGCTAATGGGTATATATGTTAATTCTTCCTTAATTCTTTAATGGTTGAATGTTTTTTTTTCTCCATATTGATTTTCATTATAGGAATCATCCTTATTAATGGTAAACACAGCACCTGCTTAGCTACAATATTTGTATTTGGTTGATTTATGATTGACTGGTGATCTGCCTTGCACATTAAGCACAGTTATATGCAATAATAACTCTGGATGCTTTAACTTCAGTAGGAATATGATGTGATGTTGGTTTTCATATTGTGGATGGTATGTTCTTTGGAAGACATTCTATGAGCTATATATTGTTAAACAGTTTTTCCTAGAATTTGTCTTTCTTTCAGAAATGGTCAAGTTTAACTGACACAGTCATTTTCATAGTTAAACTCATAACCAATAAAACATTTGACAATATGCTTCCATTTCATTTATGTTTCTGAACCTTTTTTATTCTGGTAATTACTACATTCAGCCTTTGGGAATGTTGGAAAAGTTTCTATGGTAACCAATATTTCATTATCACAGAAAACAACATTGCACAGAGGCTTCCTTGTCAGCAATATCTACCAGCCAAGAAGGATTATAAAGTTCACCATGTTTTGTCCCAAAAAAAAAGCCTTGTGAACTACCCTTTGAGTAACCACAATTCACATTTTCACACTTTTAAGTTTTAGATACACATATAAATGTAATGTTACAATTACAATACAAGACTGAATATCCAACCATGTCTTTAATAATTTCCTAGTAATATCAGAATGAAAATTTTCAATATAACATGAAGATCCAACCAAACTTGAGGCATGGTTCATTTCATGTATTTGTAACTTGCTCTGGATGTAGATCTTAGTGGTTTATGGATCCACACCCATTAAATTTATGGTTTTCTCAGAATGCAGATAATGATGACTTACGATTCATACACTTTTGTTCACTTTAAATATACTACTATTCTAGTCTTGCTGATCTTATGTACACTTCTCTCCTTGTTAAAAAAAACACACTACACAGAAGGCTAGTTCCAGAATCAGAGATTTTAACAATTGATGTGAAGCCTGGCTGGAAGAAAGGAACGAAGATCACATTCCCAGACAAAGGGAATGAACAAGTGAACCAGCTCCCAGCAGACCTTGTCTTTGTGGTTGATGAGAAACCCCATGATGTCTACAAGAGGGATAGCAATGATCTCATTGTGAACCAAAAGATTTCACTAGCAGAGGCTTTGTCAGGGACCGTAGTGAGCCTTGTGACACTTGATGGTCGAGACCTGAGTATCCCAGTATCAGATATTGTGAGCCCAGGATACGAACTTGTGATTGCAAAGGAAGGAATGCCGATAAGCAAGGAGCCAGGGAATAAGGGCAATTTAAGGATTAAATTCGAAGTGAAGTTTCCAGCAAGATTAACATCTGAGCAAAGAGCTGCTCTCAAGCGCATCTTGGGAGGTTGACTATGGTGGTTAATTTTGTTACTATATGTATCTTACTGACTCAATTGATAGTCAATAGGCCTATCCCATGTAATTCATTCTTTAACCCTTTCCCCTTTCTCTTTCCCTGTCATCGGTGATTCCATTTATATTTTTTCTTACTCTTTTTTTTTATTTCATTTCAATATGAATGTGCCTGAAAGGAGTAGAAGATCCCCTATGATGCATCAAAACGATAATAGAGGAATGTTATAGTCTTCTTTTCAAATTTAGGTTAAATGTTTCTTACGCTCATGTATCTAGAGAAGCAAACAATGCAGTTGATTGGCTAGACAATCTTGGCCTTGGTATTAACGCTCCCCCCGTTCTGTGTAGCCCTTGATTTTCTTCCTATCTTACAGGAGAGAGAGAGAGAGAGAGAGAGATGTATTATGCATCTAACTTTGGGGATACTCTGCTCCAACCAGCCGACCTTACCAGCAAACTAGCTGGCACCTTCCTAAATTTCAAATGACAATTAACTGATTAACTACAAACATAAACGAAAATATTTTAATAGCCTATATGAAGTTTGAATTTTGAGCAACTGGGATACTCTGCCATAAATCTATGATGCTGTAAAAGTAGATACTGGAAGAACTTGAAGAACTTTGACAAGTCGGCCTCTTATTAATTTTGATGAATACCACGTAATTGGTTGCCACTTTTTATATGAGCTGATTCGTCTTCTCCTATCATGTCTTTTTGGTTTATCCACTTGTTAAACATTGGAAATGGTGGAATAATTGCTTACCAAAATAGAAATGATGGAATAATTAAGATGGATTAAATTTCAAATCCCTGTCAGACGGCCTGAGTTCAATCTAGAGGTGTAAAGGGCCGTGCCTCCCACAACCCAGTGTGTTGGCCCATCCCTGCACACAACACAACCCATATATATATATATGGGCCGTGCTGGGACACGGGCTGTGGGCAGAACAGCCTGTTCGGTGATATTGTGTCAGCTCATGGACTTGAAACCCCAAGCCCGATATGGCCCATACAATCGTACTGTGCCTAGTACAGCCATAATCCATCGTACCAAGCCACAGGCAACACAACACAATTTATACCCCCAGATTGAACTCAGGCCGTCTGACAAGGAATACACACCACTATGTTACAACATATTGAAATGATTTGAAATTTAATCCATCTTAATTTTTCCACCATTTCAGATTAAACAAGTGGATATAATTGTTTTTATAGCAGAAAAACTTGTAACCAGTCAGCTCATATAAAAAGTTGCAACCAATCAAGTGGTATTCATCAAAATTAATAAGAGGCTGACTTGTCAAAGTTCTTCCAGTATACCTTTACAGCATCATAGATTTATCCCAACGTATCCCAATTGTTCAAAGTTCAAACTTCATTTTATTATTGCATATATAAACAATTATATACATCAAAATTCATATAAAATAAAATTTTAAGATCTTTTTTAATTGTCTATTTTTTTAATTTATGTTAAACTTTTCATTGTTTTCAAAATTTAAAAAAAAAATAAGGATTGGCCCAATCCATAGCCTAACCTGGCCCAAAACTAGGCCCGTGCAGACTCAAACCATGGGCTGTACTGGACCAACCCCCAAAATATCTTAGGGGAGGGAAACACTGCCCAATTTACACTTCTAATTCGATCCCTACTCCCTAGTGATAGCATTTTATTCTTTTTGTGATTATTGTAAAGGATATGAAAGTGCAAATTAATGGAGATTAATGAGTTAAGGATTGAAATTAACTGGATTAATACTAATAAACAAAAAAGAGGAAACCAATCAAGATTAATGGGTAAGGCAACCTGGGCAAGATTAATGAGAAATTGGGGATTAATGGACAACTAATGAAAAACTGTATAGGCCATGTATATACAATACAGGAGGAATAGCAGAAAAACTGGGCAATTCCACTGGTGCTTATGTGCTGGTTCCTTTAAATTTTGATATGACAGCCAAATGTCCTTACCTTGAACTTTCCTGAGAGAGATGCTCAACGTACCCAACAAATAAACATAACTTGGTACTTGGAATATACATATATATATTGCAATTGGAAGATTCAACAATATTTATTCTATATCCTTAAAATGCATTGTCCACATCAGCTTTTTCTCCCGTATTGCTTTCTAAACCCCTTGGAATTTTATATATTTTTTAATTTAAAAAATAAAGTTTTGCTATTTACCCAAGTCAAATTCCTTTTTTTATTAACTTATTAAGAAACCGAGTATAATCACTTTCCGTAGAACATGGGCATCTTGTAACACCAGCCCGTGGATGCATACTTCTAGTAGATACATAAGAATAAGCGCATACATTTACTAATCGTTGGTGAAAAGTACCAGTACGAGAGATGATCACAAAAAGGTGATTCATACATACATGTTCAAACAAAGAATTTCTCAATGCAGAGCTGCCAGTTCTACGAGCTCTTTGTATTCGTCGGAAACATAAGACTTCACTTTAAATGTAGGCTTTCCGTCACCCTTTGCCGGAGATGCATACTTCAATCCAATTACGGTCGCTAAGCCTGCAAAATTATACAGAACCAATTGCTATTCCTTTTTCATCATCGCATTAATAGGGCATTGTTGTCAAGGAATCTAAGCAATTCTAGGTCAGAGTGCAGCATCTGGTCATCTACTTGCCTACTAGGCAATTAAATTTTACCCAAAAAATAAACTAAATTGGTAGTTCCCTAAATTTGATGCCAATCAGCATGCATATAAATTAAAAGAAGGAAAATTACAGATTACAACCCTTTACTTTCGGAGTAGTGGCAATTACCCTACCCCCCTTAACTTTCAGATTCCGACAAATACCCCCTCCGATAATATTCCATCAATCAACTTTGAAAAAGATTCTCATATGACTGTTTGAACTTTTCAAATCCCCAAACTACCCTTTTTTCTAAGGATTTTTAAAGTTTTTTTGCTTTCCATTTGTTACTGGTTTATTGCAATTTCCATTTTATAGAAGTTTCTTGAGTGGGTATTTTAGTAAATTAACTTCTTCCATCACTCAGCTTAATGAAGAGGGATTTTTTGTCAGAATCTGAAAGCTCGAGGGTCTTTGTCGCAAATGAAAGTTCAGGGGGTAAATTACCAGTACCCCCAAAGTACAGGGTAGTAATCTGTATTTTACCCTAATAAAAAATAGCAATGCTCTTTACTAGTAACACTAATTTTCTTCTAACACAGCACATCATGGTATCAAAAAAATAATAGCACTTAAATCAATCAATTTTTATATTTCAGACACCACTATAACCAAGGTTCAAAGTATCGATACGTTGCACCCCATATAGGGCGTATCATATCTTTTGGGTTCCAAAACACCTGTTTACAGGTGTTTTCAAGAACCCTTTTTTAATAGAAATACATATAAAAGTGTATATAAAAACCAACTTTTGAAAAAAATAACGAAAATATATATATATATATATATATATATATATAAAAGCACATATTTTTAAGTACCAATACACCTCTGCCAATACACAGAGATGTATTGATACTTTGAACCTTGACTATAACATAGTAAGCATTTAATAGAGCAATTCCCTATCAAAAATTATCAAGGCCATAATTATATTCAAATAAAAATCTTTTAAGACAAAAAAGTCTTTATCCTCATATTCTTTCATTCTTTTTCTCTTCTTGAAACCGTCAGATCTTTTTTATGTTTAATGATAAACTTGAACAAAGTATAAATAATATATATATAGATAAAAAAATATATTAAAACACAAAATAATAATAATATACTAATGCCTGGCTTGTGAGATTTTTGTTGCCTGGCTTGGTCGCTTAGACAAACACTTTTTCATGTAAGCCATGGCATTTAGGCAGGACACCGAACCAAAATCACTTTGTCACCTACCTAGTGCACCGAACCAAAAGCCATTGCAAGTAATGTCATGCAATGAGAATTTTCTGGACTTGTGTCCATGAGCTAAAGAGGCCCCATATAAACAAAATTTAGGCAGCCCAGTGCACAAGGCTCCCGCCAATGTGGGGTCTGGTCTGGGGAGGGAAAAAATTAGAATAAAGGGAACACCAAAAAAACAAGATAAACTACTCATCATAATCCTTAGCAATAAAAGAAGAAAAAAATTGTAGATAATAGGCAAATCTTAATGTATAGAATACACTTACTGCCATGTATGCGCCCGTATAAAAACCTCTCACCATTCCAATACTCCAAAGGTCTAAACTTGATCCTGTGGCTTCGCCTTACCCCAGATTCCCATGAAGACCCAGCCCCTGGACATGCACCATATACGTCCACATTATTGTAGTAGAATCATCAATAGTTTTAAATGATGCATAGTGCAAATTGATGCATGAATAAATACCTGCAAGGCTGTTCCTATGAGAGAGTGCTTTCCTTTTTCTGGTATTGCCTGGAGGTGCTTGTGCTTTGCTTTGTTGATTTGATGGTATCATAGAAGTTTCCTGATCTATCTGTCCCTTTCTTTTCCTTCTATTGCCTGGAGGTAATTTTGGTTTGCTCGGTTGATTTGGTGTCATCATAGAAAGATTCCGATTTGTCTGTTCAATGAGAACCACATATGTTTCTTTCTATAAGAATCAGTCAAAACAAGCATGTATAAGAGCAAGCAATTTTTTTATCAGCAACACAAAATAATTTCATTAAAAACTATAAGGGCAATCATTTGTTTTTGATAAACAGTATAAGAGCAAGCAATTCCTAACACTAAGATGTACATAGAGCTATAAAAATCAGAAAACAGAATATTAGCACATTAAGGAATGAAAGTTATTTTTATACTAGAGCAGGCAAAATTGAAAATTCCAAAAGAATGAAGAGAAAAAGAGAAAACCTCCTAAATCAGATTTAATCCCTTAAGAAATCAGCTAAAGAAGTATATTTTCAGGCTTGTTAAAGGTGAAAGCTCGGAGTTTCATCCAGGAAGCATGAGATAAGGACGTTTCATTTCATTTCATTTTATTTTATTTTATTTAAGACAGGCAGTAATCTTATTCTTTAAACTTCAAGGTTATGGCAGCAATTCGTCCAATAGCAGGCTGAATTTAAGGATGACCTCAGATTACAAGATGCTTCAGAATGGCTATGAGAATGCAGATATACATGCATTTTCATGAGAAACGACCTTCAGCATCTTGAGTGATCCTCTTATCTATCTTGAAGACTTCATAGTTTGATTCTTCTTGCTGTCCAAATTTCAGATACATCATCTTCCTCTCTTTGACCAGATTTTTCTCCTCCTCACTCTTCTAACCAGAAGATATGTTTATCAGGTTTTCACCCCATTTAGCTAACTTAGGCACATCTGTCAAACAACTTCTCTTAGTTATCTTGAACATATTATCAACTTGCCTCTCCTTGCTCTAGTCTCCAGATACAGCATTTTCCTCCTTTCTAGTTTCTTTAGACTTATGCCATTGTGAATTCCTTCCTTGAAAACATGCTTAGTAGGACCAGGTCTGTATTAGGCAGTAACAATTACTGCCTCACACCTCAAAAAGGTATCATGTACTTGGGAAGGATAGGCCGCGTTATCTAACAGGGTTTTTGAGAAGAAAGGGGGCATTCGGCATAGCAGGGGAATGAGGAGTTTCTCATATTTCATGAGCCATTTGGAGGATGGTGGATTTACCTTTGTTGGATAATCAAGAGGAGCCTATCTTCAACTGGCTTGACAGATTTGTTGCGTCTCTGAGTGGGAAGAGGAACCTATCTTCAACTGGCTTGACTATGGAATTTGGCGAAATCTTCTCCATTCAGGCTTGAACATTGCTGGCTCAAGGTGGAAGGTTTTCTGGATTTGCTCCAACAATGATGGGAGGGTTGTCAGGTGGAAGATTCTGCCAGTTATGTTTTGGGGAGACAGTTGGCAGGTTTGAAAGATATAGAAGAAGAGGAAATATGTTTACTGGGGTATCAAGGCTATTAAGGAAAAATTGCTTAATATAATAGCCAAGGTAGACAGGCAAAGGAACAAGGTTCCAGTTTAGCAAACGGCAGGCATAGAAGAGCTAAAACAAAGTTGGACTATGACAGAATAACTTATCAAGAATAAAAAAATGAACACGGATTGAGACGTTTGTGGCTTAAACAGGAGGTGGGTGGGGAGGAAGTTGAAGATCAAGGAAGAACAGGTAATTACTGAATCTTATGCTAATCTTTACTCAGAAAGATGGGGATCCAGGATCAGATGAGAAGTCTGAGAAGCTAGAAGTGTGCTTCATTGAGGAATAAGTTTTGAGTGCTATTTGGGGAATGGAAAGGGACAATGCACCAGGGACTGATGATTTCACAATGACTTTTTACAAGAAATGCTGGCATTTTTTGAAGAGTGATTTGATGAGGGTGTTTAGAGAGTTTCATTTTAATGGATCATTGCAAAGGAGTCTTGAGTCCACTATCATTACTCTTATTCTGTAAAGAAAAGGAGCAATAGAATTAAAGGACTTCAAGCCTATTAGTTTAGTTGGTAGTGTTTACTAAATAATTGCTAAAGTGTTGTCAAGGAGAATGAAAAAGGTGATGGGATCAATCATCAAACATTTCAAAGACACTTGGGGCTTTTATTCATGGGAGGCAAATTTTGGATGAGGTTTTAGTGGCAAATAAGCTTAATGACTTAAGGTGAGAAGTGAAGGGGGGAGTGGTGCTCAAGATAGATTTTGAGAAAGCTTATAGCCATTTTTTTCCTGATCAGAAAGAAAGCTTATAACCATGCCAACTGGTTGATCACATGCTGAAAAGACTCAACTTTAGCTCCGAGTGGGGGAATTGGGTGAAAGTATGTATTTCTTCAATTGGATTCTCGGTGCTGATTCGCAGCTCAAGGAAGTGTTTTCTGTTTAATAGGACTTACACAGGGGGATCCATTGTCCCCTCTCCTTATTTGTGTAACTGAGGTTCTTAGTAGAATGGTGAATAGAGCAGTGGGAGGGGGATTCATTAATGGCTTGTGGATAATGAAAGAGGGGTACCTTTATTATTATAGTTTCCAGTTGATACCTTTTTTGGCAAGGCTTCTCTCAAGCGCAACTATAATTGCAGTTTTATTTCAAAATGGTTTTTACGTGATTTCAGGATCGAGGACAAATTTGCTAAAGAGAGATGCTTTCTGTTGGGGAAGGGTGTAATGTGCCTCAGTTAGCTAAGATTTTTGGTTGCAAGGCAGGGAATCTGCGAACAAGATACCTTGGACTCCCTCTTGGGGAGAGAAGCATCTCTAAATCAACTTGAGGCCCTATTGTTGAAAGGATTGACAAAAAAATTGCAAGATGGAAAGCTAAATACTTATCTAAAGCTGACAAGTTGATTCTCATCAAAGTGTCTTGAGTTCACTTCCTACTAATATGATGTCTTTGTTTCCTATTGCCTTTGGCTTGGCAGCTTTGTTGGAGAAAAGAATGAGAGATTTCTTGTGGCAAGGTTGGATAGAAGGAGTTTAAATCTCATTTAGTTAGCTGGAATAAAGTCTGCCACCCTAAATCTAGGGAAGGTCTGGGTTTTAGAAGTTTAAAACCTTTCAATATTGCACTCTTAGGGAAGTGATTTTGGAGATATAAGGAGAGGGATAGTTTGTGGAGGCAAATCATTAATTTGAAGTATGGGTGAGGGGATAGAACTTGGGATCCAGGGAAAATTACTGCTCCATATGGATGTGCTCTTTGGAGGACTCGGAATTCTTATATTAAATTCATAAAGGGAAACATATATGAGGTGGGTAATAGGAACAGGGTAAAATTTTGGACTAATCCCCGGTGCTATGCTCAGCCACTTATGATAGTTGTTTCCTCAGCTGTATTAGTTGACCTTGAACAAGGTGTCAAGGAGGCATGCAAGGTTCAAAATTTTGATACCTTACACCCCGTATCAGGCATATCATATTGTATCGGGTGCCCACCAAAATGCCTTTTATAAGGCTTTTCTAGAAATTCTCATGTTTAACAGTTAAATACATCTGAAGTTAAAAAATTTAAAAAAAAAATAGTTTTTTTTTGTATCAGGTGTGTTGATTTGAACCTTGAAGGCATGGATTATTGATGTTTTTAGGTTCCATGGAGGGTATGGTTATTTGAGCCCTATGTTCAGGAGTTTCAATGATTGGGAGGTGGACCTGTTAGTGGATGGCTTCAGAAGATTTATTGTTTCAGGTCTGCTAGAGATAAGATGGAAATAAGAGTTTGGAGCTGGAACAGATCAGGCAAGTTTATGGTTAAATCTTTTTTGATAAGAAACTGTAACTTTCATTGATGAAATTAAATAAAGAGTATAAATATCACCACCAAAGGATGGTTGGAGAAGCCGAAACAATATTAGCCTTACAAACAAGCCCAAAACAAAGCCTCCCTATTAACTCCTTCCTTATCTAAAGTGTCAGCCATTCCATTTTCTGACCTTCTTAGTTCTTACCCATCTAAATTGCACTTGAAGCTCCATTTCTAAGCACACAATTTCTCTTAGTGGCTGTCTAAGTGATCACTCCCAGGTTTCTAGCTTGCATCCACCCTATTACCAGCTTGGAGTCTCCTTCCACTTGTTGCATTCCCCATTGTTTTGTCAATCTCAGGCCTTCAAGCAAGGCCTTGACTTCTGCCCTTAAAGAGTCTCCCACCCCAATCGGGCCCGAGAATAGGGCCAACACTCTTCCTTCCTCATCTCTGAAAACACCCCCAACTCCCGACGGACCAGGAATAGGATTACCTTAGGAGCTCCCATCAAAATTCAATTTCACCCTGAACTGTGGTGATCGGGACCAACTCTGTTAAACTATAGGAGAAGAGGAAGAGGATACAGCTATAGTACTCCAACTTCTAATTAAATCAACTGAGGAAAAGTCCTTGAAAAGTTGCAAAGCTTTAGGCAAATGTAGAATCTTAATGGTAATGCCCTCAACAAGTGCTTCCTTGGTTTTTTCTTGCCCTAGGAAAATCCTATTAACCAAGTTTATGGTTAAATCTTTTTTTTATAATTAGTTTATGGTTAAATCTTTCTGCAACAGTTTAATTCTTGGTGCAGATATTTTTCCTACTCATAAAAAAACACAGATATTTTTCCTGTTTCAAGAGTCTGGCAATCAGTGGCACCACTGTAGGTGGCATTTCTTATGTGGATAACAATGCTTAACAAATGCTTGACAGTTGATAACTGGTTGAAGAGGGGTATAGCAGTGGATAATCCCCTGTACTCTATGTGTAATGAGTGCCCCAGATCAGAGAATAACTTATTTTTATACTGCAGGCTTGCTTGGAGAATCTAGGGCAGAATGTTAAATATTTTGAGGTACAGCTGAGCCTCCTCAAACTGGGAGGATCTATTATGATGTTGGCAGTTGGCTGGACTTAGCAGAAAAGAAAAGGTTGTTTGGGGAGTGATTCCACTGATAGTTGTTCAGACTATTTGGACAGAAAGGAATGACTGTAGATTCAACGGTTCCATTTCAACAAACGAATTTGTTCTTAAATCTATGTGGGGCAGATTGCATTCTTGGGTAGCAGTGCAGTGTATAAAGGAATTCCATGAAGAGACTATTTGGATTGGGAACCTCTTTTTGTATAGAATCTTATATAGTTTTTTGTACAACCCCCTTCCGGCTCCTTGTTGTGGGGATGGGGGGATTCTCCTTTTATTTAATACAATACTTAACTTTTTTCAAAAATAAAAATAAAATCTAAGGGTCCATTTGGTTCATAGGAATAGGGGTCTGGAATCGAAACCAGGATGGTCCAGTCAGATTTCAATTGTTTGGTTGGGTGGAACCGGAATCCCATTCCCATTGTTGGTGGGATGGCAATCCTCCATTTGAGGGAAAGTCCATTCCAGCTGATTCTGAATCCTGCCTGAACCGAACAGGCGGGAGGAATAGACCATTCCAATTCCAATGGATTTTGATTCAAATTCCAATTCCAACTGTGAACCAAACAGACCCTAAAAGGATTTCGAGCAAGACAAAAACATCAGAATGAGAAGTTGAACCTACCTATCTCCTCCTCGTCAAGGGGTACTGACTACTGACATTATCTACCAAACATAGGGAGCTATACTACTGCAGCCTTGTTCTTTTCTAATAAAGTATATGCTTTATTGCACAATTGTAGTTTTTATTAGCATATATATGATTATCAGTATCTTTAAATTTAGAATTCTTTTCTAGCTAACCAGAGAGACTTTTGGCATTTTGCCTACGAAAAAGGACTAATCAATAGTTCATTGCTTCTGTTCCATAACTTCTTTCAAGTTTAAGATATCTAACGATTCTAAATCATGACTAGCATTACAGAAAAAAAAAAGTACTTATAAGCCATTTTCCCAATCAGAGCTATGTTATAAGTCATAATTGCACTAGCATTTACTATAGTAGCATTGATTAGTCTAAATGCATGAACAGATTTAATCGGCAAAAATGGTTTGAAAACCATACATGCAAAACCACCAAACTTAAATACATTACAAGGAAAAATATATTAAAGAAGATGGCTAACCTCATTTTGTTCAGAAGGAATATCTATCCTTTGTGATGTTTGCTCCTCTAAGCATGGGTCACCTAGAGTAGAGCCTGGTTGATCTGCTAAAGACAATAAAAAGAGATGCATGACTACAAACAATGGGTTTCTTTAATAGTTATGAATAACTTACTGGCAAACAAATAGATAAAGTGAAGTAATAATAAAAGGTATAAAAATGTCCATACACAGACAAAACATGAAAAAATAAAGAAAGAAAAAACCTCTACACTGGTTATCACCAGCAAGCATGTGTTTTGACTGGAACAAAACCAAAAGTTTGGTTTAGTTGGAGACAAACCATTAAGGCCTACAACTCTTTTACTCAATTTATGTTCCAGATGAAGAGATCTAAACCTAATTCACAATAAATAAGGAAAGCATGCCAATTATAAATCGTTATAAACTTCTTATCAAAAAACAAAAAGCAGATACTGGTTATAAAGTAAACAAAACATATAGATTATCTGATTATCTTCAATATCCATTAAAAAGACAAATGACATCCTAGGTGTTTTTATGCATATTCCCTTAGTTGGGCCACAAGGAGGGATAGTTATTACAAAATAGAACTGGATGGATAGAGGAAATGTGATTCAAGAGTATCATTCAAACTAGAGCATACCACTTAAACTGTAAAATTGAAATCAAAGTTCTATGCAGCAGCAGTAAGATAAGCCATGCTTCAGCAGAATGTTGCATGGTCAAGATTCAAGAAACACTAAATAAGAGGGGTTGGTAGAGATATAGACAAGTGGTAATGTACAAGGCAAGGGATGCCTTGCCTTGCAATATTTTTATTTTTTATATGTAATAATAACTAGATTTTATAATTCTTAATTTTTTATAAGTAAAATAAAAAAAAGTATTTTTTATATGTATAGTTTTTTATTTTTATAGGAAACTTGGCTCATAGTCAAGTTCAAGCCAAGCCAAGCCCAAACTTACAAGCTTTTGAGTTTATCAAATCTCTAGCTCGAATGAAGCTCAAGCTCAAGCCATATAGTTTTTTGGCGTACTGAGCTCAAATAGCCAGATATTCAGCTTGGCTCGGCTTGAATTCACCCCTACCTAGGAGTGCAAACATTTTGACTGATTCCTTAGCAATAACAGGGGCTCTAAGCAATCATATGGAAAGGGGATTGCAAGAATCGGGAGTTTATTTGTAGTACTTGTAGTCTTTATATGAATCTCTTTGAATTTTGGCCCACTTCCTCTTTCGGCAGTTAGGAGTTCTTAATGAATGTTGTATATATATATATATAATGCATGTGATTTTACTTTATATATAAAGAACTTCATGAAATATGTATAACACACCCAGAAAGAACAGTAAAAGCAGAACTCAAACATACCTAACTGATTACCATTACAATGCTGTTGGTCCACACTTAAACTTTCTATCCCAAGCTTGAGCTGCTCAGGGGTCACAGTTTGCTTTTGTGCATCTTTTGCCTGCATTGCATCAAAACATTACAATATAGTACCACAAATACCAAGACAATAAAGAAAATGAAAGGAAAGAACCAGCAAGTTTAGACATCTAAGATCTCTAAAGTCTAAAGACAACTACCACATCCTTCAAGCCACCATGAGATCCATTTGACCCAATGTTCATATCGGTATCACATCCACTAGAGGTTTCATGAATAGGCTTGTCAAATGGAGAACCCAAATCTTCTGCTGCAAGTTTTCCTGAATCCATTTCATTGCCTGCAGATATATCCTCTTCAAGCATTAGTGACTGCAACTTGCCAGAATGGCTCGATCCCTTCCCATCATCCTCTGCAGGAGTAGGATTTTCTGGTTCTGGATTACTGGTTCCAACACGAGGTGAGAGAATTTGCCTGTTGATGCCTCTAACCGGGAAAGAATGAGAGGCAGGTGATGCATCAATACCATCTGAAGAGAATGGGTCATTCGGTGGATCCATATCTGGCATACGCCTCTTCAATAAAAATAATGAGGTCAATGGGCTCCTTTGCAGGGTTGTTGAAACCTTCGGGCAAACTGGGCTTCCTGACATTTGCTTATGTTCTGTAGATGTCTCTGTGCTTGTCCTTCTTATTATGTTATGTATATCTGATAATGCTTTTCTCGGCCTCAACGACCATTCATCTGCTGCCTTAACATCATTACTTCGAACACTGTCCAAGCTAGGGAAGGATAATTTGTCCAAATCAATTGACTTAATCTGCAAACGCTCACGCAATAAACTTACAGTACCATCTGCATCTAGATCATTACAATTGGTAGATAGCAATTCGTCCAAAAGATTATTGACTTTGTTCTCTGCCAAAGCTACTGAACCTGACAAAATATAAACATAGAATGATACCAGGAAAAAAAAGAAACAAACAAAACTCAAAAAATATGTATGTGATAGGAAAAATATAAGTTTCAGCATCATGGTTGAACCTTCTTCGGGAATAACATCTTCCACTTCATCTCCAACTCTTTCCTTTTCCTCTGATGTCCCATCCTGATTTTTCTTTTCTTCGTGAGGACTATAATCAGATTGGCTTGGGTTGTCCATTTCAAATTCCTTTTGTGAGGATACAGAAATCTCTTCATTGTCAACAGAAATTGATGAATAACGATGTTTATAATTAACTGTTTTCCTGAAAATAACAAAAAGAAGGTATCCACAGTTGGAACTCCATAAGACACCAATAGGCATATGAAAAAAAATGTAAGTAAGAAATAGAAATGATACCCTAGAATTCCAGGTCGACGACAACGCACATTTGTAGAAAGATTTTGCTGATTTGGATTTATCAAGACATCACCCCTCTGTTTCTGTATTTCTTTTTTGGCATCTAAGAAATGATTACAAAAGAATAAGAAATAGATGTTGACAAAGGATCCAATAAGGGTTTTGGAAAAGAAATTTTAAAAGTAAATGAGATGATGTTACTTTCAATCTTTTCATGGGCCAAAAAGTATTCCTCTGGGTCTTCCAACTGATCAATGTCTATACTTGAATCCAGATCCAAAGTAGGTTGACTGCCATATAACATAATTAATATCTATTCCATATAAACTGTTTCCCAAGGCAAATAAAGCAATGAATAAATCAATTCACTAATTTTTTTTTTTACCTTGCATTAGGCTTCAAAGAAAACCGAGCCCTTTTACGTCCCAAGGCCGGTCTTCGCTCTTGAGGACGACCCTTGCCCTTTGCAGCAGCAGCTCCATCTTCATGTTCAGATGAAATATGGCATGGAAGCTCAGAATCCAGAGGTTCAGAGCTGTTGCTTAAAATGGTCTTCGCCTGCTCTAGGAGTTTCTTTGGGTTTTTTAATGTCTGCCAATATACAACAAATATGAAATTCAAAAATAATGCCAAAATGGTTTACCATGCATTATTTTCTTCTACAATGTATTATTTCTTCTCGTGTCTGAAGGTCCTTTTTTTCCAAAATACTCCCTATATGCTGGCCAATATCCTTGTGACAACTGGAACGTTCTTTTTCTCTCATTTTTTCTTATTTTGGTTGACAAACTTTCTAAAAAGCTGATTCCCAGCATTTTCCATCACAACCTTAGATATTTACGTCTCAAACCATCCATGTCCAAAAGCCTATATTTTCAACAGGAAAATCACTAGTATCTAGGAAAATATCTAGAGCGGATTTTCTTTTTTTCTTTTTTTTCTTTTCTTTTTTTTTTTTGCAATCAATCATATGGTTCTTGAAAGACATAGCTTTTTGAAACTTATTAGCTAAACTTATGCAAAATTTAACTCTAAAATAGAATCATTAAATCTTTAACAATCGACGAGCTAATTCTATGTAAATGATGCATACTTTTCCCTTTTATGAGTAAGAACTAAGAAAATAATCCGACGCACGCCCAGTGCACCTTCGTTTGCTCGAAGTGAAACCTCAGCTATAACAACGGAACCATCTCAAGTCTAGAAACCAAGGACATTCAAACCACCCCATCCATATCGAAATCAAGTTCAAATATTCAATTTGTCTCCAATAACCTAAATCAAGCTAGAATTGGGACGTAAAAAAAATGAAGCAGAAACTAAGTAAAGAGAAGTGAAGGTACCATGGATTTAAGATAGTTATGGATATTCTCCATATCCTGCTGTTCTGATTCTACCGCCTTCATCGAATCTTTAAATGTTCGAGGAAACAAAGAAATAGTCGACAGCCCAACCAGAGGGTCGACCAGATCTGCACTTTGAAGTTTAGATGCCATCTTACATGTCGATTTCAGACCTTTTAGTTGCAGAGATACCAAAGAATAACCCTAACGAGAGAGAGAGAGAGAGAGAGAGAGAGAGAGAGTTCCCTCATTTCGAAAATTGGAAAAGAGCGGGAGACATCTTATAATAACCAGTAAAAAGGGCTAGAAACTCAGTATATATGTTGAGCTATCATATTAAGAGCCCAGAGAATTCATCACCGTTAATCGTGATGACCTTTAATTCCTAGAGATTTACCCAGCGTTGACTCGTCCTTCCATTGTAGGGGTGAATTTGTAATACAAGTATCTGTTCCGAGAATTTTATGAAATAAAAGGAAGTTAAGGGGGATTTTAAAAATAGATGGTGAAGGAGTTGAAATAAAATTCATGTCTTCCCGTTTTGAATGAAAACCCAGGGCTCACTGTTAAGTATTAACCTCACCAGCAGTCACCAGTCAGCACATCATCGAACAAACGGCGGGTACTCGATGAACATGAACTGACGAAGGGGAAAATATCACAAGTCTGAGGTCTTCTCTTTTTCCTTTGTGATTTTTACTTTTTAACTTGGCGTTCTCATAGAAGCAACAAAGTCTTCCATAACTCGAAATGCACAAACTGTTGCAGTCGTCACAAATCTCAATCATATGTTACTTGTGGAACCCCAATTCATGCTCAACAAACGGCATGGAATGGTGCATGGTAATACGAAATCTTTCGATATCAGCAACTGATGCCTACAAAGCGCAAATTTTGTTGCTTTGTGGTGGGACGTTGGAATCTGGTTATGTAACTTCATGCAATGTGGGAAGGGGAGGAGCAATGCGTTTTGGGGAAGGGAAACTGTGAGGCGAAAATCTTTTGTGTGTGGGTTTGCCATTGTTACAGGCATGGTGAAAGGAATGGTCTTTAGTGATTTCTGTGAATTGGGTAGTCATTCTCTTATTTTCTTTGAATGATTAAGTTAGCACGACATCTCGCCTTGAAAAAGAAAGGACAGCTCAGTAAGGGTTTAGAGAGCTGTCCCATTTTCTTTGTTACATCTTCCTTTGTCCCCATCTATTTTAGGAAACAAGAACATTCATCTACCTTCGCAATTTTATTTGGTCAGCAGAGGTCCCATCTAAGTCCTGTTTTCTTTTTCTTTTTTTCATGTGGGTGGGATTCCTACACAAAATTCTTGCTGTTGATCGTTTGACATCAAACGGGAGAGTAATATTGAATTTCTTCTCTATTATTCAATTATCATTTTTTTTGTAAGAATGCAATGTTCAAAATAAGACGGTTGCATCTTCTCCTTAAATTGCATGGTATTGCTTTGGGTATGGCAGCACTTCATCGGTAGTACATGGATATCTTTCATCATTGATTTGTTCATGCCTTTGGATCCCAGACTTTCCAGGGAAATATGCAAGCATTGGCCACCTTTGGGGTCCATCTGAACTAGCAGGTCATGAGTGAAGCCAAGGTCTTTGCTTCCCATAGCAAAAATCTGAGGTTCCAAGGGCCATTTGAGATGATAATACTCATCTAATTACCACTAGTTTGCCCCCTTAACTAGACAAACCAGCCTATCCAGATTAGTACCCCAACCTTAAGCCTTGTAAGAGGGTAAGGAGCTCAACCTCAAGGGAGTTTCCCTCTCCCATTAGTCCCAAAAAGCTTAACAGAATTGTACCTCTGTGATTTAGAAATTACACAAACCTTTCCATCCAGATTAGTACCCCAACAGCCCAACCTTAGGCCTTGTAGGAGGGTAAGGAGCTCTACCTCAAGGGAGTTTCCCACCCCACTGGTCCCAAAAGACTTGATAGAATTGTAACTCTTGAAAGTCCTCAATTACCTAGCAAGCACAGACCTAGAGCTATATGGCTTTTTTATTGAGCAAACCCAACCTCAATTTGTCAACCCTCAAATTGGCATCCATCTGAGCCTCTTTAAAATCCTCACAAATATCCAACGAGCCACTCTAACAAGCTAACCATGAGGTTTATAAAGAGACCCACCTCTTACTCTGGTCATTAAAGATTCTCATGTTTATTTTATTCCAAATAGTTTACAGCACTACCACTCTCATGCAAGCCCAAATTACTCTTGCTCTTAGTGACGATGATGGGCATATCATTTTTAATAAATATTCCACGTTGTTTGGCTTCACCAAGAAGCACAAAAAAAAAGGAAAAAGTGGTTCCATATATTTGTAGTAGGTTGGATGAGGGTAGAAACAAATTGAGTGGAACATGGAGGCTGTGGCACCAAACTAGAGAAGTGGTATCTTTGTATCCAAAGTGAACTTCTTGTTCTATTTAGTTTCTGTATTGGCCACTCTTTGGTTGATAATATCATGATCAGAGATGCTCAAATACAAATACCAACAGAGGAAACTTGAATATGACTCATACATTTCTTAAAATTCTAGAAATGGATACGGATATGAATATTCTCCATTGTATATCATTGTTTAGCTTTTAGCTTGAGTTTCTTAAGCTAAATTTTTAAATATGTACCATAAAATCTAATAAAACCTAAAACATTTACAAGGTTTTTACAGTGACCTTTATTTAAGTATTATTTACATAAATTTTTGACGAAGCAAATTCATAAATTGTCAAGGCATCTGTGTGCAGTATATGATTTACATTTTTTTGTTGACTCTAGAAGTATGTATGCAGTATAGTATAGTATTGGTATCGTTATGATATCATAGCAAAACATGTATGCAAAAGGTGTTTAAGTATTATGGCTTGTGAGCACTACCAAATTGAGGATATTCCTTGTAAATATTGTATGGAGGACCTAAGGGATCATTGAATAGCTCCAGATTCCTTTTATTTCAAGTCTCAGTCTTTGCATCTACATTTTTAACACTTGCACTTTTACTTTGGTACAATATATTTGCTGATCAAAATATAGAAAAGGAAAAAAGTAGTCCAATAAATTTGGTAATGGGGAAAAGAAAAGTTAAGAAAAAAAGGATTTCTTCCACTTTGTTCCAACTTCCATGTGCATTGCTATCATCTTATTCAACAGTATATTAATATTTAAAAATATATAAACATCAAATCTACTTGGCCTTGGTTCCTGTTTTATTTTTTTAGATCAATAACAATGATGAAAAGAAAATTATTAATTCTTGATACTGTAAACCCCTTCATTTAGGGTGAATTAATCTGGTTCCTATTTGAATCTATGCTTCCTTTTATTATTGGTTATTCTTTTGTGGTATTATAGATCTTTGTTTGCTCTTATTCAGTTTTGCACTGGTGTTGAATTTTCAGGCCAAGCTGGAAAACAGTCTCAATTGGCTATACATGAAAATTTACCATATGCATCAGAGGCAACAAAGCATAGCAAAGGGCTGTTTTTTTATGGAAGCTATTATGTTTTTTTTCTTTCATGGACAATTTGTTTGTTGTCTTCATTTTTATGTCTAATAGAAGAATATTCTGTATTGAATAAGCTTTTTAAGTCATGTCAGATGCAAAACCAAGCCCTAGTAATGGTGGCCATAAACCTGTAAAGCGTGAGAAGGCCAAGCTTGCTTCAAGTCATGTTAAATGTCATAGTGGCACTGTTCATTCCAAAGAAACTGAACCCAGCAAAAAGTCTGAAAAGGGAGATGAGGACATTTCCAGCTTGGGCACCTTGAACTTCTCAAAACTTCTGGTACAGAGGGAAAATGAACTTTGAAACCTAATGATTTTATCACTAGATCAGCATCTTTTTTTTCTTTATGTGAATTTTGCATGCCAGATTAGTTTATAGCCAGTGCTTAAATTAAATGTTTCATTTGGCAGGAAGGAGTGGTCTTTGTGTTGTCAGGCTTTGTTAATCCTGAGCGCAGTGTATTGCGGTCACAAGCACTTGAGATGGGAGCAGAATATCAACCTGATTGGAACTCAACTTGCACTCTTCTTGTGTGTGCATTTCCAAATACCCCAAAATTTCGACAAGTTGAAGCGGATTGTGGAACAATTGTTTCAAAGGTTCTCTATCTTCTGACTTTTGTCTGAAGTTTTAATCTTTAGTATTTATGAGTGCTATGCATTTGAAAATTCCCTTCTTCATTTTAGATGGATGGCTTAAAATTGAGGACAAACCAAATTTGTTAGGTGGCTAACTTATTTCCTTGCTTGCTAATGATAACCTGACTTCTACGTTACTAGTAATTTGTTCAAGAATGCCAAGTAAATAGCAGTGATTCACTTTGTTCTAGGCCCTTTTTTCTTCCTTTTATTTACCTTACATGGTTGCATTGGATCTCATGGAGCTAAGTATCAGTAAATGAATATATTTGTTGTGATGTCCCATCATGCATTAATGGAGACTTATAGCTAAACCCATTAGACCCAAATTGGTGGAAGCATCTGTTTCTTCATGCTTTCATCTCACAAACTCCTCTTGTTTTAATCATAGTAAAGAAGGAGAGGGGATTAACTCAATGACCCTAATCTTCCAATTGGTGAAGTTATTTATGTGTACCGTTTGGCTTTCCGATTAGTGACATTAGTTTTATGTGTTAGTTATTCATATTTCTTGAGCCTTAGATACTACCAATCATTCTAATGTTTTGAATTGTCAGATAGCTAGGACAGATTAGGGTCCTGGTAAGGGCATTATTCATTGGATAATATGGACAGATATATAATTCAACAAATGGACTATAAAAAAGTGAGGCCTATTACTCGTGATATCATGAAGTCCTATTGATAATTTCTATCTATTCAGCGTTACTTTTGTCCAACAATCTTCTGCTGGTGCTCCATGCATGGGATTTTTTCTTTTGTTTTGATTGGTAATGATCAAAACATTTTATTGATGTATTTAGAAGAATGGTTTATAAAATTGAGGAGTAGGTGGTGTATGGCAGCCTACATTTAAAGCTTAAATTTGGAGCTCTATGTATATTGCTATTGCATTGGCCATATGGCCCCCTTCTGAAACCCATGTTATCTCTATAGGAACTCTGCTGGCTCTTCTTCTCAAAAAACTATGCTATGGTCTTTTTATCTTCTCTCTAAACTTCAATATCAGTTGCCTAAGAATCATAACTTATGGAGGCTGAGAGGGGGGAGAGGAGGCCACAGCAACGAATGGGGGTAATGTACCTTCAGAAATTGGGAATTTTAACAGTGGAAGTGTCAACATAAACAAACTAGTGGAGAGGGAAGTTGCAGTGGGCAAATCTCTTGGTCTTTTCTTTTGGGTGGAGGTTTCACACAAAAAGCATTTGAACACTTCAAGAAGAGCAGGAAAGAGGAATGAAACAAGAAGAAAGTGGCTGAAGGGGGTGAGGTTTGGGGCGAGGTGGAAATTCAGGAAGAAGCTTTCGAAGGGGAGATTGAGGGGTCAAATGCTTGGGTGGGGTTGGGTGCGGCTGGAAACAGTTAAAGGCAGGGATGAAGCTCTTGACTTGGAATGTTAGGGGGTTGAGGGAGGAAAGAAAAAGGTCAGTGATGAGAAATTCATCAATAAAGCTCTTGACTTGGAATGATAGGAGGTCAAAGGAGGAAAGAAGAAGTTCAGTGGTGAGGAATTCATTATGGAAGGTTAAACCAGAGGTGGTGTTGTTGAAGGAAACAAAACTGAAAACTTTTGAACTTGAGATTGAAAAATGAAATTTGGGGTCCAAGTAATGGAGAGTGGTTGGAGTTGAACGCCTATGGGGGTTTAGTGATTTTATGGGATCCCAAGTCATTTAAGAAGGTAGGGGGAGTTCAGAGGATCAGAGGGTGCAAGAAGGTCAGAGTAGTGTAGAGAGCTGCATTCCTTTTGCCGTCTGTTGAATCATTTGGAAAGAAAAGAGTAGAAGGCTGTTTGAGAACAAATGCTGGAACATTGAAAGGTTGGTGCCACTCATTGGCAAGATAGTGGCAGGTTGGGTGTTAATCTGCCTTGAATCTGCACAAGTTAACAGAACAGAGTTGAGGGATAGAACACGAGCATGCTATTAATCAAACACAACTTGCTGTCGACCAAATCACCCAGTGAATGCTTGCCGGGGTGATTTGGTTTCAATGTGTTCACATGGTTACAACAGTTATTTGTGACTCTCTATTAAAACATAGACATGCTATTTTAAAACAAAAACCCAAATTATCCAATGAGTGCATCTTGATGTTGCTACCCCAAATGATATGCTAACAACCTACTAACATTTGAAGAAACAGAGATTGCTTCTAGAATCCACCACCATACTTCAACTTAGAAATACCAGGGTGTCCCAACATGTTGAATAATGAGTTCACATGGCTACAACACATTCATGCTATCAATCAAATGCTATCCAGTCCACCCCTCCTGAGACTCCAAATAGCTGGGACCAACATTGGGTAATGGCCTTCAACTATCAAAAAGTAGTTTTGTTCATTTTTGTCCTTTTTTTTATAAGCAAAAAATAAAATTTTAGGGAAAATTCCCAATCAGTACCCTGTACTTTGGCTCGTGGCAATTTGGTCCCCAAACTTTAAAATGTGACAATCTAGTATCCGAACTTCCAAAATGTGACAATCCAGTACCCGAACTTTCAAAATGTGACAAGCCAGTACTTGCTGTTAACCAGTCCGTTAATCAGCCGTTAAGCGACATTTGAAAAGTCAAAAATGCCCTAAGAATGCAATCTAATTCTCTTTATCAAGCATCCAAACATTGACAATAAAATGAACAGTCCCAAATTTTAGATTCTTCTAAACAGTCACCAACTTTTTTGAATAGAAGAGGCTAGGATTTGGGACTGTTGAGTTTTTTGTCAATATTTGGATGGTTCATAAAGAGAATTAGATGACATTTGAAGGGCATTTTTTACTTTTCAAATGTCACTTAACGGCTGATTAACGGACTAGTTAACAGCAGGTACTGGATTGTCACGTTTTGAAAGTTCGGGTACTGGATTGTCGCATTTTAAAGTTTGGGGACCAAATTGTCACTCGAGCCAAAGTACAGGGTATTGATCGGGAATTTTCCCTAAATTTTATTTTATTAAATTAGAATATAGAAATGGTTAATACAACTTCATGACAGGAGTGTCATTCCTTACTTTCAAACCCAAATTACATAGATGTCCAGAACAGTTTCTGCCCCATAACCCCTTGTTTAGAAAGGGAGTCAACTAGCCGATTTGCACTCCTTCTAACCCACTTAAATCCAGCATCTTTGCAATCTTTTCCACTTCCCTTAGCTCATGCTTAAGAGTCCAAGGAGTACCCCTGTTGGAATTTGCCCATGAAATAACTACTTTTGAATCCCCTTCCACCTCAACCATTCACTTTTGTCCATTTTATAATATTGACATATATGATTAGAAGGAAATTGTTAGAAATAGTTGTTTTTACCTATTTTCTACAGTATTGTACAATTAGCCTTAATATTTATGATTTTCAATATTTAGTGAATAAATTTATTTATGACACAATATGCTGCTAGGACTAGGTAGAGCCAGTGGTAAGACCAGTGAACTGTAACCCAGTCCCATTTGCTTTTTAATAAGTGGTTAGGCTTCTTAACCCTGATGTGAATTGTGGAATAGCAACTTTTTTATAAATAAATTGTGAAATTGCATTGTTGTCAAACATAGAAGAAATGCTAGTCAGGTTGAAAATGGAGAAATCTTGCCTTGAACCAGTGATAGCTGCAGATTCATGTTTGAATGTATTGGGCCTTACCCTTAGAATGTTATCCCACTAGATAATAATCTCGATGACTTAATGTTTTCTTACACCAGGGATGGATATCAGACTGTTACAACCAGAAAAAGCTTGTTCCTATTGAAAGTTACCTCATGCATGCTGGAAAACCATGGCGGAAACAACCTATTTTCCATGACATTAGCCAAGGTAATATAAATTCTAATTTTTTCCACTAGGAGTATGGATGATTTTATTTCACATAATGCAAATACCTTATTTTTTGTCCTTTACTTCTTTGCCACCCAGCATGTTGAAATCATTATTATTCCTCTGGTATTGGTGATTATATGAAGGATAGAGAGGTTTTACTTCAAAGTTTCTGGTGCTTGAACTGAATTCTATGATCTATCTGCCAAAATTTGAGATGGAAACCTGAATTTTATTGCAACATTTGTCAAATAATATGAGTGATTCGAAACCATGGAATGATTGCAGAAGTACAGAGAAAGGGTAATAGATGTGTTCCCTGCCCCAGGAGTCAGGGGTTGTTGCCATGTTGTCAAAGATCCTACTGATAGTTGTCTCCTCTGCCCACCCCCCATCCCCGCTCCCAACAATCACATGTTTGTCTATAGAGAAGAAGACTGACAAAATGATGACAGCCCACAAGGAAACAATAAACTCGGCAAGATTGATTAATAATGCTTGGACTTGAAAAAAAAATGATATTTTGTATTGGTAAAGAGCAATAAGATAATTAGTGGTTGTCCAAGCCTTCAAGTTTCTTTTTTGAGATAAAACTGATCCTTGGAATGCCTAGGATTCGAAAGCAATAACAATTGAGACAAAAAAAGTCATTCCAATCATCCAATGTAACTAAGGTATGGCAAATTTAAATGCATCTTAGAACATATAAATTGACATTACAAATTAAGCAAAATCACTTTTCTAAAACATATCTATTACCATATAACCTTGGTATTTCACTTCTATGAAAGGCTTCAAAACATGCAGAAAGACCACATAAAGCGGACTTGTTATCTTTTCTGTCCACTATTAACACTACATAAAATAAACATGCATTCCCCACTTGTATTCTTAGGGTGTACAGTATGTTCAGATTGATTAAAAAAAGATGGAATTAAAAGGAGTAATTGATAAAGAAATTGAAATGAGTAAGAGTTTTGGATTATTCTTCTTAGGGAGTGAAGAGTTCATTGGAATTGGAAGAAAATGATAAAAAGTTATAATCTGAAAAGTCATATGAGAATTTAAGTTAGCATCTTGAGGATAGAACAATTATGGTCTCTGGTTAATTAGAAGCCTGCAATTTTGAAGTTAACGGGGTTTGGGTGTTGGGGATAATGTAGTTGTGTTATTGGGCACTTGCACACCTGATTTCAAGGAGGTTAAGTTTGTGGACAACTTTGGATCTTTTGTAATTTTTTATTAGGGATATTGGTTTTGGGGATTTGTTTATTTTGCAATGAGATGTGCTTGTATCTTTTGTTCTATATGGTGAAAGCTCTTCATCAAACTTGATTTTCTTTTTCATTTAATGAAATTTCCTTTACTATCAAAAACAATGTAGTAGTGTTATGAATTAAGGATGAAGCATGGATGTATATTGATCAAAAAAATGAAGCAAGGATGTAATCATGTTGGGGCAATAAGTTTTTATGGTCAATTAAAAGGGCTATTGGTTGTTGAAGGTTTTGTTAAGTGGGGGATATAAGATTTGGAGAGAGGGTTTGAGGATAGAAGTAGCAAGGTTAACAAGTAGTTTTTAAAATTTTCTGTTGCCTTGTGGTGTGTTTGGTAGCTGAGAAAGATGTGGCTGTGATTTCTGTTCACTTGGAAGTCATTCTTTTAATTTTGCATATTATTTGGAGATTTCCCTTTTTTCTGTCTATCTCTTGCTTTGTGAATACTCATTACCCGTACATGCACCCTCATATTTTAATGAAATTTTCATTCTGTTCTAAGAAGTAGTATAATAGAGTTACTTTTTGACCAAGTATTTTTGGATTTCTAGTGTTCTTAAGAAAACGTAAAAATTGTATGTGTTAAGGAGGTTTTTCTTTTTCCTTTTTTATGTTCTGAGACCCATGGATTCTTGCAGATCAAGAAACTAGCCCGCCTGGAAAACCTCACAAGAAAGTTGAAAGAAGATCACATCCAAAAACTAGTATTTCTGCACCTTCGAAGGTGTTGAATCTCAATGTTGATCATATCATTATACCTTTCATTTTCCTTGACTATGGCATTTTTTCTTAGCATCATTTCTATCTTCTTTTTTGATAAGTAATAACCATATCTCTCTATATAATTAGACTTTGGGGGGGGGGGGGGGGGGGAGGTGTTCCTTGAGGTGTTTGAACACCTACTGGGACAAAACCTTCTGGAGAGTGGGTGTTTCCATAGGGAAAGAAGTTGATTTCATCTAATATTTCACACTAATTTCTATGTTTACTTGTTGAAATACATTATTTATGTTGTATAAAGCAGGCGGAAACTTCCAGTCCAGTTGTAAAACACCTTTCTCCATCTAAACTGAAAAAGTGGGCAATAGATGATTTGAATAGAACTATCTCATGGCTGGAGAGTCAAGAAGAGAGAGTGAGTTGTTTTCTCTTGTTCATATTCTGATGAAGTGGTATTTTTCTTCATCATAATTGAAAGCCCCCTACTTAATTGCATATACAATAATTCGTTTTGGAGTATTTCCAGTATTGTGCATATTTTTGTTGTTTTCCCCCCATGAACTTGATTGTAGTCCATGTCCTGTTCAGCCAGAGCCTTCTGAAATAAAGAAAATAGCTGCAGAAGGGATCATCATTTGTTTAGAAGACACTATAGAGGCTCTTAAGCAAAAGCAGGTATGTATTCTTTCAAAGAGGTAATATGCTCCTTATAAGGTTTAATTAAATAAACAAACAAACAAATTTGCATTTTTTGAGCTAGAACTTGACAAGCATTAATCCCAACTACTTAGTCTCAGTTACACAAATACTATTCTGTACCCTACAAAAGCCATGTCTTCTGTCAAATTGCAAGTCCTTAGAAAAATTCTTATAGTCCTCATCTTCTTTGGCCTTCCCCCCTTGCTCCTTTTTAGAGCCTTTTACTTACGGCAAGTCTATCCTTACTTGTACAGGCATTAGCTGTCTAGGCATGTGGCCAAAGCATCAAGCATCTCAGATGATTTTTCCCTCATTTTGTCACATATTTGGGATATTCAAGTCATTCATAATCCACCTGTTCCCAATTTATCATTCCTAGTCTTGCCACTCTTTTATGATTTTCAGCTACATGATATTTTTTGTGTGAACAATACACAGATGGGTCTCGTTGCCTGCTAGTCACCTCATTGCAAGGAGTACAGTTCTATAAACTCAATGCTACAAATTTTGCAGCAAACCCAATGTCAATGGTTGTCCCAACCTCATGTGACCCTCTCCCTCGTTCAACCACTCCTGTATAATGATGAGGAGGAGGAGGAGTTCACCTCAACTTTCTATCTCACTCATTGCCACTGTCACCCTCCTATCTCTCTCTCTGTCCTATCTGATGATACACATTGATGAAGAGAACATTGTGACCATCCCAGAAGAAACTCTCTTTGTAGTTTACCTTTATTGCACTCGGTCATTACTTTGGTGTTTCTAGTAAATGAGACCTAAGGAACCATCTAAAAGTGTCAATGATTTCCCTGATGGCTCTTCCAGCCTTCTATCCCCCTTTCAATCTGCTAAAGGAGCCTTTTGACCGTGCAGCAGCACTTGTGTTCACATCTTTGCTTTTGTGATTAATGTCACTGGTGATTGACAGTGATAAACAGGAGACTATGGGGAAAGAAACATGAGCCTGATCTGATGGTGGAGGCAGCCAAGGAAAACTGGTATCCAGTGGAGGAACCAGGAGAGAAGGTGCAAACAAAGGATCCTTGTTGCCAAGGGCAAGAGGTGAAGGTGGTGGAGCCTGGTTCTTGGTGTCAGGCACAATACCTGGTGAGATTTGAGGAGAATCCACCAAAATGGTTAATTAACAAAAGCAACACTAGGAGCACACAGATACTAAGCTATACCAGTCCCACCATTGTCCAAGAATGAATATGGAACAAAGATCTGCTAAATAAACTACCTGCAAGTTCTGATTACACCACACAACGAAATACTATGTTTGCTGCAATGTTTACAACATTGAACTTATAGCAGATCCAGAGTCGTTTGCGAGCACTCTTAAAATGGTTGTTTAAAGCATATATCCTACTGTGGTTTGTGTTTTTGATCAATGACTAAAAAGCTTATTATCATGATCATTGAAAGTTAATCAATAATCAAAAGGAAAAAGCAGGTACAAAGAGAAATTGGCAAGCCTCAGATAAAGGTGAAACCCAAAAACTCAGTTACCAATCAATTATATAGAAATTACTATTCCTGATTTATTTGTAATCTTGTGTTATGGACGCATTCGTGGGGAAGAAGTACCGCCGCCAGCAGCAGCAGTAACGTGGGACCCTCATCAGATTATCTAGCTAGCCA